TATGCAGTCGGTGTTAAACGACTCCCAAATATTTGGGAGTCGGAACTCCAATATTTGGGAGTCGTTTAACTAAGACCCAATAATACTGTGTCTCTACGCAGAAAAATATAAAAATTTATTATTATCTCTTTATATATTATATATATGGTAAAAATAACATCAGAAATGGATTTCTCAGGTAAAATTACCCCTAGTCACTCACTACAACTGACCCCATATCTCTCATGGTTTAGAAGTTACACAGATTTCAACCTGTCATGGGATATCTTTTGGATTCTTTACTCTCAGTATGGCTTGTTTTGAATACTGGATGCATATTGAATATTGAATTCCTTTGTTTTGTATTGAATTCCTTTATTGGCACATAGTGCATATTGAACTCCTTTGTAGGTGCACATGCATTCCTTTGTAGCAGGGCCTTGTAGGCTAGCCAAATTCCCTCAAGGCAGTGCTCTCACCAGCCAAATTCCCTCACCTGCATGTACTAGACTAGCTAAAACCCCTCATTGGATCTTCAGGCCAGCTAAAATGCCTCAAAAGCCTGTACCCTGGGGCTAAAATCCCTCACATTTGTCTATATAAGGAGGCCTCTGCCTGCCAGTTGTTCCCTCCATCGTCCCACCAGAGGACCAGATCAACTCAACCCACATTACAGATTATATACAAGTGACAGCCATAACAATACATTATATTGAAATACAAACATAACACTTTCATCATCATAACAAGTGCCAAGTGCCCATAACCTGCCTCACATACCATTACTGGTTGAAGCATAGCGCTCCCAGAGCTCCGCGCCTTGGTTTTAAAGCTTTGAACAACAGCTTTGTCAATATAATCATCACTCATTTATAACTTCAGACCCTTATACACATCAATCGGAAGCTTCATCTTGAACTATCCTCTATCACGATAAATATAACTGCCAAGCTAAGCTTGGTGGTCTTGTTGTTCTGATAGCATAGAAGGGCAGAGCTTGCAACTCCATCATCCCCTTCTCCATTCAGCAAAAGGGTTTCACAATCACTTTTGAGTCTTACAACGCACACAAAGTAAACAGGCTACCTTGGTCAAAGAGGACCCTTGTTTAAACTTGAGCTATGAGCTCATTATTTGTTTCTGATTGATTCCTCAAGAAAGAAAGCTAACAATATTTAAATAAGGATCTCGAGCAACTGATGAGATCTCCTCTTTCCTTCTTCAGTGTTAACCAGTTGATTATTCTTAGATATACAACAAAGCTTCCCAACCTTGAAGAGCATTCACTAAAGGAAAACTCTTTTAGAAATACCTCTTGAACTAGGATTCCTATTCTATATCTTATAGTTAGTTATCTAACATCCCTCGATTCTCCATTCTGTACAAGTACTGGTAACCTGGACTGTTACCTATTTCTTGTTATCTCAACCTATTATTTTCCCAACTCAACTACCAGTCTGAGTCTTGGATTACCCTGGCCTATTGCTTCAAAAATCTCAAGTAAGTATCAAGAGCCCGTGACCTGAGCTTCAAAAGAAATAAATTAATATTCATCTTGTTTTTCTTCTAGTCATCTACGGCTATAACACTGCAAACCTCTACCTTTAGAAGTAGTATAAGCCTGGAACTTCCGGTCAATGAGGTCCTCATATCCCATCAACCAGAAGGGGTTCTTTCTGGTCAAGTGGGAGCAACTCACAACCACCCCCCCCCCCCCTCCCCCCCCATGCATGAGAGGCTGCTTGGGGATCCAACTTCCAAAAAAAAATGGATGGCTAACTCCCAAATTCAAACACCCATTTGGAGGAATGAGTCCCAACAGATGTCCATTGACAGCTGTTGGGAGTCTTTTAGCTCACCCCCTAAAAAACAACTGATATTAAATTGAGAAAAGAGAGTGAGTGATGGCAAGTGAAATTCCAACAGCACGTACTAAAGTGTGTTTCATGCCTAGGAAATTTATGGAAACAGCTGTATAGAAATTGTAAAGGCTGGCAATTTTCTTATAAAAGTTGTTGGAGTTTTGATCAATCAAACCAATTGCCCCCATTCTCCCATTCCAGCCATCCAGACTCTGAAACAAAAATCCATGCACTGAAAGAAAAGCTGTCTGGACTGCATCAATCTCACTTAAAATGGGTTGAATTTAAACCATTTTGAGCAGGATTGATGTGAAACATTGTAAGTGGCATTGATGCAAACCGTTATATTGTTGTCAGTGTACATGACTGGGTTTCATGAGCTTCAAGTGAACTATGTTGAATCAATATCACTTATAACTAATCAGGATTAGAGATCGTTCGTTCAGACCTGTTGGGGGGTACCTGCCACACTTCAAAACACTCCCTCCACACCCTGAGACACCACTGATGCTTCCAGAGGGTTCAGTAATGATAAAGGTTTTATTACTGGGCCCCCCACTTGTATTTATGGTGACTGTTGATGTGGAGGGCTTGATCTGAAGTGTGGCAGGGTACCCCCACAACAGGTCCGAACGAACGATCTCTAATCAGGATTGATGATGCCTGACCACGTTTGCGGGTAGTGATGCTGACCCCATCCAAAAAAGGCTCATCAAAAACACTTTCCATTTTCTGTTACCTAGTTTGGTACCCAAGTTCCCCAATCATCTGTCAAATCCACTGTAAACTATTCCCTCTTCCATCTACTTATTTGCAGCATTTTTCACTCCAACCTCACCAGCTGAATCACCATTGAAATATTGACCAAATGTATTCCTTTTTATTGCTTATCTGTGTGGCATTATACTTTGTCTTCCTCTCCTTGCTTTTGGGACATGTGTGTTAAAAGATTGGAATAGATTTAAGTAATTAGTTGTTACCTGATGAAGAACTCAGGATTTTTGTCCTGAGAGAAAAAGAAAGACCATGAGGAGAAAGCTCTATACAAAAAAGGTGCCTGAGAGCCCTGAAAAGAGGCTAGATGGCTGCTAGCTTTTGAGATAGAAAATTGCACTCACTTCAAGAGACTGTATGAGTGTTCTCAGGTAAAAGGAAAATATAACTGATGTCTTTATTGAAATCTTGAGCTACTGGGTTTCAAGTGCTACTACAACTAGGTCAAGATGTTGGACAGAAATTGAGGAAATTGTGCATATTCATCTAGAAAAAGAGGAAAGGAGTGACAGGTGAAAAGAGAGACTTTGAAATGAATGAAGACTGAGATATAGTATATTTGAGATAAAAAAATTGAACAGTAAGAGGAAGGTTAAAAAATAAAATCAGAATAGTGTTAGGATGTTACAAATGTCTTACAGTCAGCTCTGCTGTAACCCATACTCTTATTAACCCATACTCTCCAATAAGCCATAGTCAAATGGTCCACCAAACCACTAATTTTAGTGTAAAACCCTCTTCAATAATCCATACTCCCTACTAACCCATAGTAATTTGTGTCCACCTGCCACCAAGGGCATGGGTTAATGCAGAGTTGACTGTATTAAGAATTGTTATCCATTGGATTGAAACGAATACTAATAAACCTCAATATGTAATCAAGCTAAGACAAAAATTAAAGATATCTGACAGGGAATTAAATTTAACTTGTATTAATCAAATTGAATTAAATCAATTTAATTACATTTCAAAATAAAATTATCCAGACCAATTTTGATTCCAGAAGACAGAACTGATCAAAAGGGCATTAATTTAGTATGTAGTATATAATTATTGATAGCTATTTGATGGGGAAGCTGATATATCTCTCATTTGTATGTACTCTATTTCTGTGCTAGAAATTTTCTCACTTGTACTTGGGGTTGTAAATTTGGTTAAATCCCAATTGAAATGTGACCAAATTTCAGTTGGAAGTTGGAAACAATGTTGAACTAGAGAAACTTTGGGGGAAACCAAAAGAGGATAGGGGCTGTGGCTTAGTGCAGCAGCCATAGATGGGAAAATTTTGGAAATTAAGAAACGGGCCACAGATGAAACACTCATGAGAGCCTCCAACTGGGCTGTAACACTAAAATCATATTTTAAGCCATGCAAACAAGTTTGCTCATTTTGGGGTGCTAATGGAAGTTGAAGGTTATTCATCAATGCTACATCAGCTCCAATCCCAGCCATCAAATTTTGGGATCCAAGGACTAGATTAATCCCAAAGGTTACTTGTGGTTTGAAGTGCTGAGTTAAGGACAGATGTTGAGGATTGATTTCAAACTGAGGATGATGGTGATGAAAATGCAGATGCGTGTTATTCATCTGACCGAGCTCCGGATTTTGACCGTCTATTGTTGTATCAATGTTTTGCCATTCAGCCTCGGCGCCAAGGGTCAGGTTCGCAGAGCTTGTGAAGACCAAAGCAGTGTTACTGATTAATCGAGCTTGTGGGCCAACCGATAGAATCTAAGTTTTGTTTAGTAAATAGTTAGATGCTTTTTTCTCACCCAACCAGAACTTGGTGATAAGGAGCTTACACCTGGAATGAGAAGCCCTGGTAAATTCAGCAATAGGACATTTACATCCCCATTGGAGACTTCACCAGTTCCAGTCAAAATCAATTCCACGTCGAAATTTGCTTTTAAGCGTCCGGTCAATCTTGCTACCGTGCGTTTTGGTGGTCTTCGACAACGACCCCCTCCTTCCTTCCGGGGAGAAGTCGTACATAGTGGTAAGCTTAACTCATCGTTAACCAGCTGGGTGCCATTTTGTATCATCAACCCTAATTCACTGCTTGTACTCGATATAGCCTCTTTTAGCTTATGAGTGGCCACGAAAGTGTCTTGAGGAGATGCTGGAGCGGAGATAATCCCGGTGGCCAATTGACCTTGGGCAAGCTTGAGCAATTTAGAACTTGTGTCTTCATATGATGAAACAACTTCTGCTAGTTCTGCTTTCACCTCCACTTTCTGTGTGTGATTCGCGGACAAAGCAATCTCGTTTATGCGGTTGTAGAATCCTGAAATCAAGTCTACCAACTTTTCACTAAGTTTTGAAAACTGAGATGCGAGAATGTTTTCCGCCGACCGAGCCAACGCAATCAGTTGTTGTTCAGCACGGTATAAATTTTTTATGAGTTGATTTATACACTCGATGCCGGCGTTGATGATGCGACTTCCCCAAACAATGATGAGCTGGAAGTCCGAATCAACAAAGCAGTTTTTGCATTTAATATCAAGTGATCCATAGGGCCATTGGGCAACGTTGATAGGTACTTCACTGTTTGAACACTTTTTCTCCTGGTGATCGAAGTTCAAAGACGGTGAAACCTGCATGGTGGTTGGGGCCATTACTCCCCTTCGTTTATGTGCCAATGTTCTAGAGGAATCTGAATCGGATTGCTTATCTTTCACTTCAACCACTTGCACTTGGTGCTCGTAAGCAACAACCTCCCATCGAGACCGATACCCAGAAAGATTCAGAGTTATTGGCTTCTCCTCATGACCTTGCAATACTGATTCCACATAGAAGGGGTGATACCTCTCCTGACTAGGGCCGTCAGAAACGCAGTGTCCGGTATCGCCATCCAACACGATGACCAGTGGAAACTCCCATTGCTGAGCTTTCAACTTGAAGCCTTGAGATGTGAATTCTAAATGAATCCCGTTAAGATCACAATTTATTGATCGTATTCCAGGATGATCCCACGCGACCACAGTCGGATAGCGCATTGTCCAAGAGATAATTGAAGCATAGTGAGCTGCATCTTGGTAACCCGCCTCGGCGTAGTATAGTGATATATTGTAGGCCGGTTCGGTTTGCGCCAACTGGCGTCGGGGAGCATATGAAGGATCAACAGGATGCACACTTCGATGTTCTTTGGGCTGACCAGCAACTAAAATACCAAAAGATATGGCGAGTAAGCAGTAGACTTTTAGCATTTGAAATGACGGATTCAATGACAGTTAGGGTATGCTGCTGTAGTATTTAGAAAAATTAATAACTTATAATTAGAGAATAGAAAGAAATGACTTCTTTGAGAATATGTATAAAATAAATAATGAGGGGATAAAACAGAAGGACAAAGTATGCCAATCAGTCACGGCGCGACACTTGGTGATAGCAAGCTACGTTCAAAATATTGTGGTCCGTCTTGATTAACAAGCAACTTAGTAAATGTGAAAAATCCAGAGGGAAATGGAGGATTGAAATGCTGTTAGAGCTCAATTCTTCTAAGATTACTCTTCACTTGAATGGACTGGCATTCGCGGAAACATGGCGTCTGATGAGACATGATGACACCGCTTATCCTCGAGGCATATTGACCTTCAGCGACGTCTCAACATTCTTGTCACTAGGGATGTGTCACGAAAGGAAGGAACCCATTAATACGCAGTCGGACCGGAGGCCGAATTTTTCTACACGGTCAACGATGACGCCCAATTGATATAATGCGACATCGCCCACAAATTTTTGCTGAAACGTGCATTATCTGGGACTGAGTCGAAGCAAGAAGTATACCATTTATGCATGGAAAAGTGAAGATCAAATGCCAGCACTGCCTCGATCGAGAAAATAGTCAACAAGTTGATGGTTGAGCAAGGGTGTCTTTGGACAAACACTGTGGCGATATCAGTTTCCACAGGGTATCATTGGACGTTTAGATAGTTTTCCGGGCTATCATGGCAGTCCTGCACCCAAAGCAGGGACCACATTCCTGACGCAGAGGAACATTGCACTCACTCTTTGTGCAAATCGCATACGAAGCATCTTTCGCACCTGTAAGAAGACTGAGTTGTTGTTCAAGTTGTTACAATTACCCTCACAAGAAAAATTTCCTTGGGCTTATAGACCAGGCAATCCATAAACCTTTAATGGTACGATGACTTTCAAATCGTTCTAGAGTTGAAACCAATGTGGACTAAGACTGATGTAACGCATTTTTTTAGAGCTCACTTTCAAGTTTGATCAATCAATTCTCTTTGCCGTGCTGTTGGACGGTCAAGTGCCAGTTGAGCTTCGAAAACCCCGCCAGACTCCAAAAACAGTCCTCACTGCCCAGAGGATGACATCCGCAGCAATCTGCTACGAGCCTGCGGAGGATAATGAATATGCATTTTGTTGAGTGCGACGGCAGTGGAAGGCTGGATGGATGGGATCTGTCCCAGCCAAGCTCAACCCAAACGACATCAACCAGTATTTAAAATCAAATGGCGAAATCACTGAGATCCAAGAGTTGAGTAGATCCCAAGGAATTGAAACCATTCTTGATCGTTCAGAAAGCCAGAATTTGACTAACGCAACCAAAACAAACCCTTTTTTTTCCTTTCTGAAATCGAACCCAGGCAAGCGTGCATTCAGGGCGACAAAAAGGACGTCGACTTCCTCGGATTACCAGAAGACTGAGGCGGAACGATTGCAAAGACTATCGAAAAAGCTCACTGGAAGTTCTGCAGAAGGCACTGAGCAAGCCCCAGACCAAGAGATGCAAATCGCCCAAGGCGCGGAAAACCCAGACGATTCTGCCTCCAAGCCGGCTCCCAAGGTCACTACGCATGGACCTCGAATGAGTGGACGAGAGGTCTGGAAAGCGTCCAAACGAGGTGAGTCTAACTGAACTCCGATGTGCCTGTCATCACTTGTTTTGCGCTATATCTTAAGTTAGTCGAGTAAATCTCTGAATAACGCTAATTTTTATCGCTATTATCAATGCGCTCTCGTTAGGTATCCAACTTCGACGCGCACCTAGTACGACGGTATGGCATCAACGTTCAACTGGGAAACCACAAAGGCGGAGATAGCTCAGTTTCCTTGTCGACTGCATATCCATTCATACTTTTCCTTTTCTCTCATCGTGTAGGATTTTCTGAAACATAACAAAAATAATTATAAACCATACCGCTTAAGATCTGCTGTTCGAAAATTAAGTCCTTCATCGATGTGCAGCCCCATTGAACTTGCAATGCGAATTTCGGAGAGTTTTCTTGTTTGTTTGCAGCTCAGATGTCGGATTTTGCTTGTAGAGTGAGTGTGGGTTTTAACTGTTTTTTTAGCTTTGCTGCAGGCCATGCAGCTGTTGGTTTGGGATAATCAGTTTGATGAGAACTGTCAATCATGAGCCCTGCTATTGTAAATCAATGTAGAAACAAAAGCAGTCAGGAATCGGACAATCATTTAAGATACAGTTGCAGGAAGTCTTGTAATGATTCAAGTGGATTCAATGAGTAACTCCATTGACCTCCACTGTGTTTTGATCAAAAGTGACACCACAAATAGGTCCAAAACAACTACAGACAGTCAGGTCCTTGTGCACATTGTTGTACAGTGACTGTGAAGAGAAGGAAGACTTTTGGAATATTTACCTGGAAATGCAGAGTTAGGTTAATGCTCAAGTAGCTTGAATGTCAACAGCTGACAGGAGTTTTTGTAGGGATAAATTTAGAAGAAGAATTCAAGCACATTTTGATTCCAGGTGTGGCTGCAAATGTTTCTTTCTGAAATCCTTGATAATCATCAACTTATGTAGCTCCTAAGAGTGGGGGACTTCCCACAGCCATTTAGAGGGCTTGAAACACGATGAAAAAAGTGATGTCACTTGCTGACATGTGGGGTCATGAGGCTCACATCCAACTTCTGTCCAAGCTCAGCATAAGCACAAGGTCAATCTCTACTGCACAGTGACTGTGCAAAAATGTACTGGCTTAACAAAGGTGCAAGCTTCATCTGGCGAGTCCTTGAACAGCATTCATGGTGAAATGGCACTGTAAATCCTAAATTAATTGTATATGTACACAGTGGATGACTTCCCGTCAACATCTGCGGGGCTCCCAGTTTCGATTTAGAGCCGAAAAAGCTAGATTTCCCTGCAAAAATCTAGACTTTTTGGGTCTAAATCGGAAACTGCGAGGCTCCCAGATCCGACGGGAAGTCCTCCAGTTATGTATCACCATATTGACAAGTGCACATAAGAGCTATAACTACCATGATCCAGAGGCCATGATGACTTTTTTTCTAAAAACATATTGCTCACAGGGTGTGAATTAAGAATTAAAATGCCTATAAATCCAAAGGGAAGTTCTCCCTTCATACAACTTTTGATTGCCAGCATGTGGTCAGTGAAAAAAAAAAAAAAAACAAGTGTTTCCTCGCTCAAGAAAGGGGGTGATTCAAATCGAGAAGATATCTTACTTCATGGGACTGATCAATGAGTTTGTTGTGTTGATCAGTTTGCATTAAGGCGGCCATTTGGGGGGTTTGCAGTCAATGTGCAGTGACGTAATCCAGCATACATATTGTTTAAATAGCTTGAATTTGGCTGCTGATGGCCATTCGACTGGGAGCACTTTAATTTTTATACAAAGGAACAAAAAAACCATGATGACAACCAACACCAACCAGCATCAAGCACAACAAATCACACATCCTGAGTTCAAGGAAAACGTAAGTAGAGAGCTTCCAATCAGAACCGCTATCTTAACCATTTCTTGAACTGATACTGATGATCGTTCTTTCTTCGATCAAGGTTATCTGGAACGATCGGGCAATCGACTCGATTCGGTCAAGTTGAGTATCTTCAAACGATCGCATGAAGAAAAAGAAAGGAAGGATTCGTATCGACCGGTTCTGACTTCCAACCTCCCTGATTATTTGGACCCCAAACCAACCCGTCAACAACAGCATGTTCGTGTCTATCAGGCTCGCTTAGCGGGATCATCGGCCTGACCAACTTCTCCGGCCTGGGCTTCTATCTCGCCAGCTTCACCCTCGTCAATCTCACCATCCTGCTCGTCAACTATCTCCGCTTATTGGCCGGCTATTCGTCCATCCTTCCCGTCAAGAACCATTCCGTCGCTAAGAATTTGTCCCAAAATCTCAAGTTTAGCTCCGCTTTTTGGGGCGCGGGTTTGATCGATAACTCGTTCGGCTTTATTCTTTGTCAGTCCTCTCTCTCTTTCGCGGCTTAACTCCTGTCTTTTATACTCTTACATTTTTCATTCATTCTCTGATCACTTTCTAGGGTGGACACGTAAGTTATTCTTCTTGTTTTCTTGTCTTCCATTGCCAAGCATATTTCTAGAGCTCACCCATTCCTCTCTTTTCTTTTTCTACACAAATCTTGTCCCTCTAGTGTTTTACGGCTTGATTCATAGTTCGTCTTTCCTTCAGCCTTTTTTCTCCACAGAAGATCTCCATGTTGAATCCCCCATCGACTCCAGTCGAAAGTCAATTTTCGGATGAGAACAATACTGACCATTCAATCCATTTTTTTTTTTTGATTCTCTATCGGTCCACAGTTTATGATTAAAGAGGATTTGTGGTGTGTGCAAACACAAGACGAAGACAAATCAATTTCACCTTGATCAAAAAAAAAAAAAAACAGAAAAACTCATGAGTTGATTCCATAGTTGATGATCATCAGCGATAATAAACAAGCGACAAAACCGAGAGAGAGTCTTTCTATGATTTCTCTCAGCGTTCTTCCACTCCCTATTCTTGTATACGATGTATGATTAGAGATCTAGGATAGAAAATATGACATCATCCACTTACGCAGACCATCATTCATGGTCATTTTTCACCTCTCTAGATACATAGAAATAAGCCTGCAGGGTCACCGAAAGGATTTGAAAATTCAAGATTCAAATTCACATAATACAGAAACATTTCACCTGTTTTGGCTTGTTCAGGAACTTGTCTGTAAAGCAAGTTGTGGAGCCTATTTTAAACTTAGCCAAAGATCCATGCATTTTCAACTTTCAGTCCAACAAGATGGCTATAACAGCTTTGGAACATGAACCACACACGGCATAAGTGACCATTCACAATGATTCCACATTGCTCAATTTCAATAACTAGCCGTAATGCTGTGTATATATTTCCCAGCAATAAATACAGGGGCTTGGAAAAACGACTCCCAAATTTTAGTTGACAACTCCCGTTTCGGTCGGGAGGTCGTCGAATGGGAGTCGTTCTTCCAATTACATACCGGGAGTCGTCGGCCTAATTCCACAGACAATTTTTTATTTTTTTTTAATTGAAAATTTGGGAGTCGTCCGCCTAAAAGGCGGGAGTCGGCGCCCCAAATTTGATCCTTAATTTTCTTGATTTTTTTTTTCCTTGGGAGTCGTCAGGCTAATTTTCCCAGACGGAAAGGGAGTCGATGGCCCAATCGTCCAAACTGACAACTGGGCTTTTTTCGTCTTGCAGGAGTTGTTGACAAATCCCTAGGAGTTGGTATGAATTGTACAATGAAATTGTTCGCCGGCCTGATTGTTATCAAAATGTGTTCCACAAACTCCACGTCGCTTTGGATTGTATCAAGGTTGATTCACCATCACCTTGTTCAAAGCCCCATTGGATGTCCATGCCTTCGACGGGTGAGGTAATGACAAATGCCTTTGAGAGGCCTGTTTGCTTTTTTTCTGACACCTTTTGCCAGACTTTTCTTGCTTCTTTCTGCCCCCCCCCCAATGACAACCCCCCTATTTTTATTGCTTTTCTACATGAATTTTCTCATTTTGTCACCTTGCAGTTACATAACCCAAGACATTTTGCTGCCCCTCAGCTCATGAAGGAGTGGAAAAAAAAGGCGTCAGAAGAGGCTTGGGGATGGGAAGCCCAATTTTCTGATTCTTTCGAATTGACTGTAGAGAGGAAAATAGAAAATCCAATGAAACACCACTAGGGTTTTTTTTATCCTGTGTCTTTTTTAGTTTTTGATTTTTTTTCCTCTATGTCCTTTTTTACCCTTTTTTTTTCTTACTTTTCTGATCATTTATGAATATTTTTGGCCTGTTTGTCATCTCTTTTATCTCTTGCAATGGTTTTTCTCAATCAATCTAATTTTTTTATCATTGATAAATTGCCTTTGGGGTGGGGCCTCAGTGGCTCAACCTTTTTTTGGAGTCTCTGAGGGTGCCATATGGTGACGACTCCCATTTCTAGTTGGACGACTCCCGTCTTTTTTTAATACAGTCAAACCCGTGATACTGCATACTCGTGTAACCGCATAACCTCTCATACTGCATAGGGATCTCATTCCACTGTAGTTGGTGCGGGCAAAAATTAGTTTTTTTTGGGTTACACCGCATAACGGCATACCACATACCCTTTTTGGCCTAAAACTAGAGAACATATTCGCTATAACCACATAGTTTACCATCCGGTTTTTGCTTTGTTTCCTATTCAATCTCTGCCTACAGATCTAAAACAAGCTAAATTTTATCTCAACTCATCATTGCTCAGCTCAAAATGATCCCCAGCTTTATCCAGCTTATTAAAGACAATCCCAATTCGATCCACCTTTCCTGTGTTGGCGACACACTTTATGCGCACAATCTTGCTGAACGTCCGAGTTTGAATGATGCAACCAAGGATTGCGAAGACGTAAAGCTCAGTACAATTGAGAATTATTTCAAAGAAATGAAAATCAAGAACAAGGAAAAACAAGACGCGCTTCAACTGAAGATTAAAAAAGGCCAACAAATAACGACTGAAGAAGAGGAATGGATGGATGGAGATGGAAATTTGATCGATGCGGTGTTACTTATGGAGAAACTTGGCGAGTTGGCCTCCACCAAGAAGACGATAAACTTACGATCTAGCGAAATCAACATTTTCCTTCGGATTCTTGAATTCTGCTCTCAAGAGATGTCGTCGAAAAGTCTGCTTAATAAAAAAAATAATAACAAGAACTCTAACCGAAATCCAACTGAGAAGCCTTCCAATCCAAAAAAAACTGAGAAGAATTCTGATTCAAACAAAACCAAGACGCCTTCCATCCCAAATAAAAAACGAAAAGCAGATAACGATGAACCAAAATCAAAATCAAAGATCAGCAACGCCAGCTACGCCGAAAAAGTAGAAGTTCTTGATTGGCACCACCGAAATGGCAAGAACCAGTCGAAAACTGCAGCACATTTTGAGGAGATCTATCCTCATCTCAAAATCAAACAACCCTTGATTTCAAAATGGCTGAAAGACGAAACATCGATCCGGTCAAAGAATAGCGAGTCAAATAATCCATCCTCTAAACGGCTTTGAACTGTTTCATATCCTCAAGTTGAAGCAGCTCTAACCGAATGGATGAAGCAGGCTATGCATCTCAATCTCACAGTCACAGGCGATGTTATCAAAGAAAAATGGAGGGATTTTTCTCGTTTGGCTGGAATCCCCTCAAATGACTGGCTTTCGTTAAGTTCTGGATGGCTTGACTCATTCAAAAGCCGCCATCAAATCAGGTCGTACCGTAGACATGGAGAGGGTGCTTCTGTCAATCTTGAGGTTCTTGATGACGAGGTTGAACGAATCAAGACAATAACTTCAAAATATGAGCTTAAAGATGTCTTCAACATGGATGAGACTGGATTATTCTACTCGTCAGTTCCTTCACATTTTTATTATTGTACATGCTTTTTTTGATGATTTCTGACGGTATACCTTATCGTTTTAATCCAGGATGCCACCTGATACTGGACTTGCTTTCACCAGGACTCATGGGATCAAGGGAAACAAGACACGCATCACTGTTGCTCTCACCTGCAATGCCGATGGAAGCGAGATGAAAAATCCTCTATTCATCGGCAAATCAAAACAACCTCGCTGTTTTATGAAGAAGGATGCAGCTTTTTACAACTACGAGTACGCATTCAATGCAAACGCTTGGATGACTGCCGAGATCTTCCAACACTGGCTCAAGTCTTGGAACTCAAAACTCAAAGAGGAGAACCGAAAAATCCTCCTGTTGGTCGATAATTTCAGTGGTCACCAGATTCCAGAAGAAGGTGTATCCAACATACAAGTCGAGTTTTTTGCTCCCAACCTTACCAGTCATATCCAGCCATTGGACGCCGGAATAATCAAATGTTTCAAATCGTACTATCGCAAGAAGGCGATCTCGCGAACGATTAGCCTTTTTTCTGAAGAAGCTGAAGCAGGCACCCCAAAAACATTGCCTAAAGACCTTTTCAATGTCAATCAGCTCACCGCGATGAAGATGGCCAAGAAGGCCTGGGAAAGTATTTCTCAAAAAACAGTTACAAACTGTTGGGGTGCAACAAAGATCACTTTGATCGCATCGGAGGGTTGCAAAGAAAAAATTCAACAAAAGCTCGATGAGGACAAGGATTTCTTAACCAGTCAACTCGACTCCTTAGAACAAATTGGCGCGGTCTTGCCAAGGAATTGGATGTCAGTTCAAAATTTCTTGAACCCGGAAGGCGAGAACGATGTTGCGACTAAAATCTGGACTTCGGAAGAGATCTTTGACTTCGTCAAAGGTCAAGACAATCCAGATCAGGACACCCCCAACGATGACGATGAACCTGAACATCCAATTGTACGGCCGACAAAGAAGCAGATGATCCACCACATCTCCCAGGCTCTCTTGTACTTGGATGGCGAGGAAAATCCAGAATCTAACACACTTACCAATCTTCTGGAAAAATACCGACAAACAATAGTAAAAGATGTTCATTTCAATGGTCAACAGACTAGTCTCACAAGTTTTTTCAAGCCAACTGTTTAGATTTTCATTTTATCTTTTATTACTTTGATAGGTAGCCTCTCATTTTCCATTTTTTTTCATCATCTATCAAGTATGTAGTATATATATATATATATTTGCAAGAAAACTAAAAAAAAAAACATGCGAGAAAAACCCCTGAAACCACATAATATCTATGTGGTTCCAAGGGCATTCTAACCACATAGTTATGTGGTTATAGAGACAACCCTTCCTACCACATAACCCCCCAAACCACATACCTCATCCATTCCACGGAGGGGTATGTGGTTTCAGGGGTTTGACTGTATAGAAAAAAAAAGGCAAAACATTTGGCGGAATTGGTGCGAGGACTCCCTCGTATTAGGTGGACGACTCCCGCCAAATTAAAAAATAAAAAAGGGAAAGGGCGGAATTGGCGCGCCGACTCCTGCACTTTAGGCGGACAACTCCCTATTTTTTTAATAAAAAAAATGAAAATTCTCCAGGTAAAATTAGTGCGACGACTCCCTATGTTTTTTTGGGAATTGGAAGAACGACTCCCGTTCAACGACCTCCCGACCAAAACGGGAGTCGTCGACTAAAATTTGGGAGTCGTTTTTCCAAGCCCCTAAATACACACAGTAGCGGCTTGACCATCGACACACATTTCTCCTTGCCATCCAGGATTCATTTGGTGATCATATGGGCTGAGGATGTAAGTATCTGGTATAGTTTCCCTTCCAACTCGTAAGAAGAATGATGATCAAGGCTGTTCAAGTCCCAGAGCTCTACACCCTGATTAAAATATAAGACCCTCTCCAATTAATCAAAGTGAGTAGCGGGTCCGATGATTACCCGCCTTATCGTACGGTTATCTCTATCCTTCTTTTTCTTCTGAAGTACATGGTTCATATTTATATAATTTCAAAAAGAAAAAGGCAGCAAGAAGGAGGACAGGTGATCGATATGAAGTTTTTATATTTTTTCGACCAGCTAGATGGTTTCCCAAGTCGAGTCAAATGAAACCAATAAAGTGATCAATTTTGTTGTTGTTGTTGTGGTTGTTGTTGTTCTCTTGTTCTTCTCCTGTGTTCCTTAAGCTGTTGGGGCAGCTTGAGTTCCAACGTTTGAAGGGTGAGTAGGATTGTTTTCGACCGGCATTTGGCTGATCGATTCCTTTAATTCGGTATTTGTCAAAATATGAAATCCGCCACTTGGAGTGACCTATTTTTTTAATGGTTTCAAATGCATCAGTCGGAATCCATACTCTTTTTCTCGCTACTGAAATCTATATTTGGATATGTTCCTCTGCTATGAAGGATGCTCACTTGTGCTAATTGAACATTATGCTCGTCAAGCTTTTCCTCCATCACGTGTCTTAAGACTTGCAGTACTAACAATTTGGCTTCCTGCAAGGTCATTGACTAGAAAACCATCCGATTTTTGTTTGGTCAGCATCAATGAACATGGGGGAAGACGGGCGGTAAGAAAGAAGAAGTTGAACATTCAAGTGACATACCTTATGCCAACGCTCTTGTAGTTCTGTTTGGGCGCCTTCAGATCCACTCCCAATTGCCTTGGCATCGTATCGCATGAAGGTGCCCGAAGGATCCGCATGAAAACTGTGTAATTCCGAACCCAAATAAATTAAATCGAAGTTTCAGGTTAACCAGCCTTTGAATCAATTACTGAGAGGAGTGACTTTACAGTTGAGGTCCAAGTTCGTCACATCCTGCGATCAGTAGGGCGACACCGAAGGGACGTGACTAGATGAGAGGAGCAAAGTGGAAGATAAGCAATCGATCACCACTTAATACTTGAGGGAGATAGTAATGGTCGTCGGAATCGGTTGGTCCGGGTCTTTGAAACTGACCATCATCGCATCTTCGTCATGAGTACTTTCACCGAATCTTAGTGCAAGATCGCAAACGGCTTGAGTGACGCTCTCAGTCTTGATCGGTTCATCGAACGTAAACCGATGGTTCTGACCGACGACTCGGGCATGTTCGACCATAGTACGAGAATCGGCGACGAGGCCACTGACGGCACATCCCACATGACTGTCGATCTCCATTATCTTCTCGATCGACGAGGCTTCCAATAGTTTCGATTGAGAGCGTCTTTCGACACCCAGGATCACTCCTTCCTTCGTCGTCGCTGCGATCGTGGTGCTCCCTAGTTTGATCGCTTCGATCGCATATTCTACTTGGAATAACCTTCCCTCCGGCGAAAATGTGTTCACTCCTCGATCTAAAATCCTCCCCCAGATTGCGCAAATAATACATTAGATTCTTGTTCCGAGTTCATCCTGTTTCGATGCTTATAGAAAACGTTTATTTTTCTTGAAAGAGAGATCCCTCACTTACCATACTCAGACCTTTGTATTTTGAAAACCCCGAACGTGATTCGAGAGGCGAGAGAAAGATTAATAGATGGGAAGAAAAAGGAAATTGATCAGTCAACGGGTCAACCGAGAGAAGTAGGAAAAGAAACACCAGCTCTGAACTCTCACCTAGTCAGAAACATTGTATCTGTAGATGGGCTTAAAAGCTGGTTGGTCGATGGCTGGAAGGGTCAAGAAGAGTGAGGCGTGTCGAAGCTGGCAGGATGATGGTCAACAGCGATCGAGAAGGCTTCGTCAGCCTGACTCGAGCTCGATTACATATTTAAGTGCATACTTCAGTTATGTATGCATTTACACAACTGATGACGACTATGTATCAAACCAAACTGCCTTGCTTGACTCAAAAAATGCTTTAATTCAAGAAACTCATCATTCACCATCAAACAGGTTGTACAAGTTTGTTTGACGAAGAAATAGACGGATGATCCATTTATACTTGGTGATCAGAGGTTGGCTTGGATTCTTGACCATATAGGAAAGACTCTACAAATGCTTTTCAAATGATCTAATTCTGGAAAGAAATTCAAATCAAGTCTTATAATTCTCTAGCCACAAAACAAGTCTGCTCAACTTTATCAATGGCACAAATTAAGAACTCAAATGATTTGTTTGTGTTTTTGCTGAGGATTAAACAGTGTTTATTCTAGGAGGATTAACAGCTACCAACAGGACAGCAGTAAAATTCAAAAACAGTCAATTAACCAAACCCATATCATCAAGAATTCAAAAATATGACCAAGAATTGATGAGAAATTCTAATTCATTAGACCCTTTTTGACCTAACAACCCTGTCTATTCTGTTAATCAGTTGCAAGCAACTCATTTTCCTCGCTAGGTTCATGAGCATCTCATTGGTGCTGGCCTTGTCTTACTTGGAGAAGCTGATTGGGTACAGTAAGCAGTACGAAGTACCTCCCAATCCTTGATTTTTGTGAAGGATACGTTCAAGCTGGCTGCACCGGCTAGTGTGCACTAGGGATGGAAATACTATTTAGAAAATTCATAAGTCCAAGCCGATTGAAATCCTTTCCTGCATCCGTGGGCAAGGGCTGAAGGCCAAAAGGGAAAGATTCCTTGCTGCTCTGGAGCCTCGTGGGCAGCGGTATTTACACCTCCCTTGTTTCGCTATAGACTCCAGCCAATGGTTATCATGGAGCGATTGTTAATTACAATGTAGAAGGATAGATCCCTGAGTCAATTTTCTTGTTTCGATGAAAACAGACCGCTCACAAGGTTTACAGCGGTTTGGAAAGCCGCAACGACCGATCAATAGACTCCTCTCAAGAAGGCACGATGGAAGGCATGACAACGCCTCCACACCTTCGAACTTTCGCTGTAACTGGAGATGGTGTATGTATCACCCAAAGCTGCCACCTTCAAGGGCTATCCGAAAACCGAGAGGATGGATGCTGCAACAGTTTCAGCGTCCCCAAGAATGTTCACCCTCATGAGGCCCAATCACTAGCACTATCTCAATGGCAATTTGCCTCCTGGTTCCACAAGGTTTCTTATCGGCGTCGACCAGACCTAATCAACTTCAATCCAAATTAATCAATATTGTATCAACCTGTCAATAATTAATACAAAAAATTTAGTGAGCCTGTCCCACTCCTTCCTCTCGATTCTTTACAGACACTGATCAGCCTACTTCCATCACTCCTTTCGTTAAAAAAAATAAGATTGTTCTTTACCATTCTTCTTTATCTTGATTTTCATTGACATTCACGCAGGGCACCATCTTTTAAGTTTATTATCAAGACCATCATGCGGAATCAATTTTGGTTGGGACTCTGTTTGCTCTTCTTGGGCTCAGTCCCTATTCATTGTTTACCTGGTCCGGGAAACAAGCTCCGCCCTCGAAATAGTGCCACTTGCCGAAATCCTTCCGTCAGGACCTCTTGGTGATTTTCTAGTTTCATTTCACTCTCCTTAATTTTGGGCATGTTTTTATAACCTGATCTCTTGTCCAATATGATGACAGGACTAATCTATCTGCATCGGAGAAGCGAGCCTATCAGGCAAGCGTCTCGTGTCTGCTCAAAGCACCTAGTCAAATGAGGTATCCTGGAGCCGTCTCCCGATATGATGACCTCGTAAGTTCGAGCTGCAAATACTATAATTTTGGAGGGTAGCTCATGAATCTTTGAGGAACCCGTGTATAAAAATCAGGTTTACGTCCATCAAAGACAGAGCGATTATCCCAATGGCAGAGATGAATGGCACGTCACCGGACAATTTTTAGCAGTCCATAGGATGTATTGTTACATTTTCGAATTAATGCTACGCGACGAATGTAATTATCGCGGTCGAATGCCATATTGGGATGAACAACGAGACGCAGGAAACTTCCGTAACTCGGAATTTTTGCGTGATTTTGGTGGTCCTGGCGATGAACGCGGCATGGTGGTGGGTGTTGTCCCAAAATCAATCAAATGTAGCACAGTCCTGGACCGAGGTTGCAATTGAACTGATCAAGCACAAAAAACTCACCTCTCACAACCTCGTAGACTCAAGGCCCATTTGCAAATTTCGAGATCAACTTAGGTCCTGGGTTCCAAAATGTTCGACGAAGACTTCATCGACAAATCAATGAAACTGCATCAGCTATGGCAGGACCTCAGTATTATCAAAAGCTGATGGCCCAGCCAACTTTTGCTTCTTTCTTGAACGAGATCCGACAACACAGCCATATCGCAGGTCATAACGGTGTGGGTGGCGAAGTAAGTCCCTTATTATTATTCGTTTTTCAGTCGTAGTAGTCATTTGGACACTGATAATCTGAAACCTCTGTCAAGTTGGGGGATGTGCAAACTGCAGCAGTGGATTCGATTTTCTTCAACCACCATCTCTACATTGAGTGAGTCCCCTAATCACACAATCAAAATCACTCCCATTAATGTTGACGAGTGCATCGGGGTTTCTTTTCAGCTGGCTATGGGCAAGTTGGTAAGCGCCAGTCATCTTCCCCTAGAAGACTTTTTTACAAACAGAGGATGTTCCCATCAATTTATCTTTCGACGATTGCATCCGACACAGGCAAGAAGCCGACCCCCAAGCACGAATTTTCGATCTTCGCGGGGCAGGATATGAAACACAGGCAAACCCAACCCAGGTACGCCGGTTGGTCACATCTTGATTGAGAATAGGCGTGAAATCTGAACCCCCTCTTGTATCAATTCCAGGAAACAAATCTTCTGACAACCTTGAAATTCTTGGGACTCGCACCGGTAAGTAATTAGTGAATAGACAACAAAGATTTGTGTTTTGAATTTAATCTTGATCCGTGTCTTCCAAATTCAAACAGGATGTGCCTCTGTATGGGTCTTTGGATATACAGGTACTTTCCCCGTTTGAACATTAGCATAATTTCACATCATATCAAAGCTAACAGGAACAATTATTTCCTTTTTCTTATAAACAATTGAAACATCAACTGATAAACAGGGCGGGTTTTTATGCTATACCTATGAATGATTCTATGATCCTGTTCTTTATTCTGCAACACATTTCAACGATTTCATTGTAAGAGACATTCACCCTCAGAGCTTTCAGAAGTTCATTTAAATTGTTCATTTTCTGCATATGTGTTGGGTTTTGATCCCTAAATTGACTTTGATCTTGATGAGAAATAAACATAAAAATTCTTTGTGAATATGATTTTCACCAATATGTAAAACTCTTGATGCCTTGGATTTGGCTTGTCATTTTTCCCAGTGAATGTCGAGATGCAAAACCCCAACAAGGGTCCACCTGATTCTTTGAATAAGCCATGCACTATCTTTCTCCTTCTTTTCATGATTCATGCTGGAAAACATCATACCTTTGTTATTTTTTTTTCCTCGTGGGTGGGTGGGGGTAAGACATACACGTCAAACATTGCACATACTCAAAACACACAGAATCACTTTTCAACACTTCTCAACCCCCTGAGCTTAAGCACAAATTGCTGATCACTGGGGGTATTTCAAGTTGATGAATGCATAAAAATAAAATTAGGACTTGATTTTGTCAGGAACCCTCTTGAACAATCACATTGAAAATCATTCATAAATGATTATATTTTATGCATTTATGTAGTCAACTTGAAACACCACCACAAACAGTTTCAAATTTTGGTTTTGGAAATGTTCACATTCTGATTCTCATACAGAAACTGGACCAGCAATAGAAACTTAGCTAAACTGAGCATATACCTGCATATACTCAGCCCACAAATTGAAAACAAGCAATTTCTGGCTCATGAGTTTGGTGCATTTTGACAAAAAATGACATGGGACTAATTCCAGGAATGTCACCAAAGGTGTAGAAACACCAAAGTCTCCAACTGGAAGGATCCACAACTCTCACACAGACTCCACTGGATGTATCAACAGATAAAACCTTGAAAAGCATTCAAGCTTCAGCATCTCAAGAGGAATCTTGGCTGAGGCTTTAATGAAGGTAATTGGTTTTCTTTAGCTTTGTTTCTTTTGCAAAGCATCCTTCTGGATGTACAGATAGATTTTAAGATCAACCAAGTGGTGCAACAAAGGTAGTTTGGGAAGATGGTCTTGTTACAAAGAGTCACACAATCATTGTTAGAGATCATCAATTTGTCAAGTTCAGCATCCCTATAAATATATAGACTACATAAACTAAGGATGCAAGAAGTAGGATAATCGATAATGATGATGATGTTTTTTTTTTCTATTTACGGCAGGGTTAAGTAATCGTTTGTAGGAGGATGCCGAGAAAAAAGGTGTCCACTGTTTCATTATGATCACTCGGCCGGGAAGAATTCATGCCCAATACATCTATCAATTTCAAAGGAAGACCGTCAGATAGGGTAGAATGAGAGTAGTTTGTTAACGGTGATCAAAAGAGAATTGTATATGCTTACGTTTTTAAAAAAAATGAGTCTGATTTAATTTTATTTCAAAACAAAAGAAGCTTGAAAGCCTCGTCGACAGGTTATTTGGCGGCTTGTAGAGAAGGTGGCGGATGGATCGAGCCGAGCGGGGAAGTGGACAAGAGATTTTTATTGGCGAGGTCGGGCTGTGGGAGATCGATGGGGCCATAGGGGTCGACAGATCGATGAACGCGCCAACTGGGCTGGCCATCGGCGAGCCATTCGCAGCGAATCCGTTCCTGCTGAAGCTTGAGTTGGAGCTCGAGGGCGCGAGTGGGCCGGGTTCCGGAGCGTTTCTTGATCTTGCTCTCCCGGCCGGCCTTCTTCCCCTCACGAGAGGCCCAGACCGTCTTCAGATAGCCGATCAAATTGAGATATGCCCGCCCAAAATCGTCCAGACCGGCGCTCGGATTGAGAACATTCTTGGGTGGCCAGGCGATCACTTTCTTCAATTCTCTTGACGGCTGGGAGTCCATCGATGTCTGGCTCGTCGTAGTAACCGCAGAGGAGCTTCCCGAGTTGCCGGTGCTTGAGGCCCCGCTGCTAAAGGTAGAGGAAGAGCTAGTACCAGACCGCATGGAATTGCTTCGATTTTGGAAAATCCTTGAGCCTTGTAAGAACCAGCTGGGTCGATGAAGTTTTGGGGAATCGTTGGATTTGAGTGTGCGACGAAGATTGTATTTTTAAGTCTGTTTGGGATCAATTAATTATGCAACTTCTTCTTTACTTCTTGACGAGAGGCTCGAGAGATAAACGAAAACCGACGATTTATTTATTATTAAGAAACACAAGTTGCAACTGAATATATATGGATAGATAGAGATAGATATATTTAAATGGACAGAAGATTACTACTGACTAAGGAGGCGTCTATTGATAGGCCCAGGTTGGTGAGGACGGCCCAGATATTAAATAGGCCAACATAACCACAAATCGTTTACTTTTTCTTATTTCGTAGGAAGAGATGAGAGTGACGATTGTGGCAGGAAAGCCAAGCAGCTTGAGCCTTGGAGGATGTGAATAGGTTCGTCTGCGAGGCTCACTTTGAGGGCAGGCCATAATCTAAGTTCCATCTATTCCATTTCATCCATCCAAGGATCCGCAAGAGTAGTCCATCCGGGTGCTTAAAATCCAGCTTCCAAGCCCATCTTTTACAGACAGCCATAGCCTGACTGATCGAGCATTGGCCTGCCAGATTTGTAACCACAACGATCAGCTTCTCTCTATATAACACCTCTCCATCGTGGAAGCACCGGATGCCCTGGATCTGAAAAATGCCCCCACCCGTGCTCAAATATGGAATACTTGGGCTCTCATATCGATTGACCAAACCTGCGAGGTTTGAATAAATAGTCGAGTCGAATCGAATCGAATCGGCTGGTGTATGTATGTTCATCAATCAGTCAATTCCGGGTCCGAAGATTCCGACCAAGGGAATTCTAACACAGACGAATGAATCTGCAGAAATGTTAAAGGATTTGCAAGTTACAAATTTCTCAAGACGACGGTCTTTCATATAATGCTTATCTCGAATTTGTCGTTTGGAAAAGTATGGGCACATAATACATTTGATGACTACCGTATATTCGCCATGATGAAGGCTGGCAAATCCGGATGTTATAATTGTGTATACACAGCCAGTCCTCTGGAGCGCTCAATTAGTCCTCCACATGCTTGGCTCAGGCTGGACAGAGGAAGATGTGCGATGTAAATAGAGTTGAAGACATAAAAACATATAGCCATGCAGAGATCACTACAGTTTGGCTTCCCGCGGGATTTCCTGCTCGGCTGATGATGACTGAGCAGCCTTTTTTTTCCCCCTGAAGTCTGTTGGTTATAATCGCAGAAGGAGTATTGATAGGATTGCGATAGCCCAGATCAGGTGGTGTGAAAGAAATGCTGGCAGCTTTGTTCTTGCATCTACATATAACTAAAGGAATAGCCTCAGAGGGCCAAACAAACCGTCAGGCTTTCTAACCTCGGCGTCGACCCTCAATTCAGCTTTGTATTGAATTCTCATGCGGCTTCTAACGCCGGCGTCGATGTTGGAGAGTGAACTGGCCATTCACCCAGCAAGTGAAGGGCTGATCGTCACACAGGCGGCCAGGCCATCGCTTTGAGATCGCTTTAATTGATTGCTTTGATCCAATCTGAATTCATTCCAACCTCGATGAGCCTCACCAAATTTGATGAACCTCCGGTTTGCTGAGCTATCATCAAGCATGCTCTTGGCCTACAACCAATCACAACTCAGTCTCCCTGATTCAGATTACTGTCAATTCCTACTCAAAAAGGGACTTTTTTCTGAAAATCATCCTTTTTGTTTAAATAAGCCAATAACATCAAATAACATCAAAACATTCTTAAACAAGCCAATAACATCAAATAACATCATCATCATGAATCAATTCAAATGATATTGAAAATAATTGTAGCAAACAATAGTAAAAGCATCAGAAAACTTTGAAGAAACTGAAAGAGGTGGTAAAATCTGGAAAACTTTGAAGAAACTGAAAGAGGTGGTAAAATCTGCAAGTAAGACTGACTGAACTCATTCAAATTTGAAGTACCATGCAATGTAAAATCTGCATATTCCCTTTCACATTGAAATTTTCCTCAGCTTGCTTTTAGCTTATAGTCCAAGGGGATCAAAAACTGCCATATAAAGTAAAACATTTTTTTCAGTTCTGAAATTGAAGAAAGTTTTGCTAATGTATCAAATGCTGATTGAATGACAGTAAAATTTCAAATTACCATCTGTATAACATATTTTCCAATCTACATGAGCCTCAGATAGCCAAACAGAGTGTCAGAATCTCCAACCTTGGCATCAATCCTCAATCCAGATTTCTGATTTGTATGACATTCTCATGAAGCTTTTGAGTTTGATTTCTTCTTCAAAGACTGAATTCCAACTCCTCATTGTAAATTGTTTGGATTTAAATCTGGATGCAATTTTTGCTTCCATCATGCCACATTTACATTTGTCATTAATAAATCTGCTGTGACCAAAGAAGCATAGACAAAATTTTATTTTGAGATAGGATTAAAATCTACATTTGAATTCATTCCTGAAAATAGCATGGATCATTTCAAAAGAATTGCTCCCCCTTAATTTATATTCTAACCCTGTATATCTTCTCTGATTCAAGGACAAAACATGGCAAGTGTGACCTGATGCAAAATAATTGTTTACAACACCTGTTCAGTTTTTCAAAAATTCCAGTAATACCTTGGTCAAAATTGGGAAGTATAGAAAATTCTAATCAAGGTAATTGTTTCAATTGAATACTTGAGTTTTTTAATTCAGAATCAATGCTTAAACTTGGTTTCTTCCTCAGAGATCACTCAAAATTTGATTCAAGAAAATCCAATGCTGACAATGTGCACATTTCACAGTAACTTTGCATAAATTGTTACTTTATTTTTTGTTGTAGTTATAAGACAAGCTACATTGGGAGTAACCCACATTTTGGCTTCTTCCAGTTTGTTATATTTTTTCTTGAAGTTTGGCATATTTTTTCTTGAAGGTAAATTTTTCAGGCCCCATTTGGACAGCCCGTTATATGTCATAAATCTTTGAATTTATAATGTGTGACCCCCGGTGCGGGGCAATTTATGATGTATAACAGGATGTCCAAATGGGGCTCAATTATTGAGAACTGGAATTTTGGAATACCCTCCTTATGATTTCACTTAGTTGAAAATACAGATCAACTATACGGAGAAGTACACATCAATACAATAGAGCTATACAAAAAAACCTAACAAAGAGCTAATGATAGTATTGCAAATGCTTACATACACAGCTTCATTCATACATTGGATGGAGGACTGAGATCTAGGAGGAAATGCCACTTTCCACTGACCAGGGGCAGAATTAATATTCTGATTGTTTGGCCTATTTTATTACTATGAATGTATCTTACATTAGAGGGGTTCACAATTGAACTTCAAGTGATTTTTATGGTGTTTTTGAGCAACATTTTATGAATTTCTTTGAGTTTTTCCAATTTATTAATTTCTGAACCTTCTGTACATCACAAAAAAATTGTACATTCATGATCAGAAACACCTTAAAAATGGCCTTAAAGTTCAATCTTGAACCCCCCTATTGGAATTGGAATTTCTTTTTGCAATGTTAATGTTTATACAAGGTTCTTCAATATCTTCAAAGGCCTTGATCATGAAAGAATCCAATACTGTTTCAAATTATGTTTCACATATTACACTGATCTTTTTGAGGCCATCTTTATCATCATTCTGCTAATTGATGTGCCTTTTATCACCAGGAAATCTCTCAAGTATCCTAATTAATCCAATCCTGTTCTCCCTTTCATTTAAAACCCCCCTCTGACCCCAAAAATGGGGGCTATGCCCTCGTGTTTTATAGCAAAATGAGAGAATCCTCTTCACGTCGATGCTGATGCTTTGCGTGCTGTTTAATTCTCTCTCCTTTTCTTCAACAAATCTCAACAACAACAACAACAAGAAATCGTTGCTCAGATGTTGTGCGAATCGATGGATCAGCTTTTCAGCAGGCGTGAAATTTTTTTCACAGTTTTCCGCGAGGAAAAATCTTTAACCATTCGCCTTTAAAATAACGAAGAGTGTGGATTCAGTTGGCACTATGTATAGATGGATGTGTTTGATACATCGAATCGATCCTGTCGTCTTGAAAAAAAAAAAAAAATCGCAACTGAGCACAGGTATACAAGTGGATATCCCGTGCTCAAAGATACATAGAAGGCTGTCCTACTTCTAATCTTCCTGTTCTCCCACTGTATGTTAAACTAGCGTAGATTGAGGTTTCAGAGACTGGCTCAGATACCGATTTTCTCGTTCAAGAGCCATCTGTGTATCCATCTACACAATTGTTGTAGACAATGGAAAAATACAAATTCTTTGAATAAAAACAGATGTAATTACGAAGTTTTTTTTTTGAATACTTTAATCCAAGAAATGGAAATAGGCCTCTAATCTTAAGCAGTTCAATTGAAGAGAGAAACTTAGATGAAGAAGATCGAGACAAATGTCAAATTAGTACATCATCAAGTCGAGAGAGATCGATTAAACACATAGGGTACGAGATGAAGAATTAATCTAGATTGATTTTTTTTCTTGCTTGCTCCATTCCTAAAAACAAAAACAAAAACAAAACAAGCAAGAAAAAAATGTGGTCATCGTCTCCTAGCTGTTCTTGTTGTATCTCTCCGAGAGCGCCTGCAAAAAACAAAAAGCGACAAATCAAACAAGAAATTGAGTCAATCCGTGGGGGAAGATCGAGATGGTAGAGATTAAGTAAGCAAGAACAAACCTAGCCAATCGTTCCTTTTCGATCTCTGCCCATTCCAAATCCTCAACATGAATCAATTGTAACTTAGGCCCAAAGAGATTAGCCTCATGCCAATCTCTCCAAACGCCTTCGAGTTTTTTGGGCCCACGACTGGAACCATATTTCTCCTTGAGCAGAGGATCACTTTCGATTTTGAAGCTAGTCTGCACAATCCCGACCGGATTGGGTGTTGGCGTGGTAGATGCTGTAGTAGTCGTCTGAGGATCTGCGTCATTAGGCACAGCTACCGAGGATGAGAGCACTTCCTGGGAAATCAGCCCAAGCGAAAGACAGTCGCGCTTGTGTCGACAGATCTCTTCGTGGATCGCATGCGCAATGATCGGACTCGCCGATCGGGGTAGGTTCAAGTCACAAATATATTGCGCCGTGAACAGTTCAGGCGTCAGTGGTGATGCCAAATCCCATTCGATTCGATCGACAAGATGGAGTGTTTCTATTTGTACATCCAGCTGGAATGATACATTTTTTTTTGGCATCAATCGCAAGAACCAATCATCAAAATAAGCTAAAAGACACGTAAGCGAGAATCATTGCTGTACTGACTTGGATGACTACTCTCAGATCAGGCTCGATTCCGACTAATTGGTCATCAGTGAAATGGGACAGGTCTGCTTCATCTGGGACCAACTTGGTTGCGGATAAGAAGGAGTATTGATTCAATTGGGACTTGATCTGTTCGACAATCTTGGGCACATAAACTCCAGATTGGATCCCGGCATCTGCGCAAAATTCGAGCGAAAAGATCTCTGGTGTGATGTAACGTTCTGTGGACAGAAGAGGGATGATGGTCACCTTACTTGTTTTTGAAGTTTTATACGAGTTGATGAAACAAACCTCGAAGATTCCAGGTGAAGACATCTCTGATCCTCAGTTCATCCGTATCAAGTTCGATCCGGATGGGCACCAGACAGACGCTATCTGAGGCTTGATCAATTTCACTTAATCCCAAGGTATTCATGAGCAGAGGTGCGCGTTTGGTTTTCCGCTCGACTTGGATCCATTTAGCAGGGGGATCTTGGCCCAGATACGAGCGCCCGTCAGCATATTTCCGTTTCGCAAGGTCGTCCTCCTGCGTCTTGCCTGGTTCAGAGGGGACGGGAGTTGGGGTGGAATTCCGGGCAGCAAGTCTTCCGGCTTGTCCAGCGAGTGGTGTTTGATTGACGTTCGCGTTCATCGACAGTCGGGAGCCATGACTGGGTCGACCACGCGTCGAGCCGGCCCTAGCTCGAGGATGATCGTCTTCAAAGGCTGGGTCTAAGTCCGGATCGATGGTCGCCAGACGCGACGGTTCATTCTCAGAATAATTGACGACTCGACGAGCGCGTTTTCCGGGTTCAGAGAGAGGGACCGTAGTCGGATTAGATGGATGAGAGTCGATTGGCGAATTAGGGCGTTGGAGGCGGTTTTGAATATACGTGTTGGTATAGATCGGTTGGGCTAGTGCGCTGGTACCCAGTCTGAGCCTTGAGGGGAAGGTGGTTAGAGAGGCTTGTAGGTTTGAGTTAGAGGACAGCGGATGGTAGGGCGGCGCAGGTTCTAGGGAGGGCTGATCGATGAGAGGCCATGACTGATGGTTTGGTGAGCTGAGCTGGTGATGGCTGCGATTGTTTGAGGGGGTTCTTGATGAGGAAGGGTCGATGATAGGTTGGTAGCTCATCCTTGAACGACAACTTGGTTCTTTGATGAGTGGTTGGTTGTGGTGGTGGTCAACAGGGAAGGAGGGGGAGGAGCAGGGGGTGAGAGGGGGGTGAGAGGGGGTCTTCCAAGCCCATCGGGAGGACCGGTGGACCCCGAGGCGCAGTCCGCCCGGCATCCCGACAGCCGACAGCTCGCAAGTTCGGGGGGCTGGGGTAACCAATCCCTGCAGACCGGTGGTCAACAGACAACACAGCTCAAGAGAAACATGGCATCAGCACTCAAGGCTCGTTTTCAGAGGACCGTACAGAGTTGGCATCGATATGGACTGGCTGGTGAGTCAAGTTAAACTCTGGATTGGCTCGCTATGGGGGATAAGACTGACCGGCGGGTCGGAACGGACAGTGGCGAGGATGGATCCACTCGGTGGTGAACCATACCGAAGGCCATTGCCGATTTTCGAAATGAGCCATCCTTCTCACCTCGATCAATTCGCGCTCGGATGTGACGCCGACATGGGTGGTTACTCAACCATCCAACTGGCAATTCAACAATCTCCCGACCACCCATTTCCTCATGGCGTCTTTCGCGGTACGCTGCGCTCAGAGTTGGGCGAACAGGCTCTGAAATCTGGAATCTTAAAAGCTGGAGGATATGCTGGTTTCCGAACTAGGGTAAACCTAATTCTCTCTCTCTCTCTATCTGTCTAGATTTTTGAATTAATAAAAGAAATTACCTGGCATTTTAAGGTTCGGGAAATGTTAATTGGTGAAGATAACTGGAACGCAGAGCAACACGAGTTTTTGAGACTTCGGGTCAAGAACTCCGGCGATGGAATGAAATATTTCGTCAACATTCAAACAGAAGGTCCAGGTATGTTCTTGTCCTCAAATCTTCAATTTGATCCCCGATGTAGCCAATTGCTGACTATTGAGATGATCGTTGTAGTTTCCACCGATATCTTTCAGCATCGGCTTTGGCTTGGCACACCAGGTGAATGGGAAGATGTTCTGGTGAGTATCATCTACACTCTCTGGCAAGTGGTACCATCCATGGCTAATTGCAACATGATCTGTGACTCTTTCTTTCTCACAAGATTCCACTTGCGGATTTTGCCCTGACAAATAAGGGTCAGATCCTCAACAATCAGTTCGAGATGCCACGAGAATCGATCAGGACCGTCGGCATTTCAGTCCTAGAGAAACCGGGGCCATATGAACTCGGGATCCTCAAGGTCGATTGCGTCAGCGAGATCGGTCTCAAATTGGAGGAACAGGAGGAGAGCCAAAGTTCGCACTCCGTGCCCGGTTGAAGTCCCATACAAATGATTACCAACGCTACAACCTTCTTCCTCCTTACATCAAAACAAAAATATCTAATTATCATCTATGTATGTACTCTGGATATACCATGCTCCTGTAATTATTACTCGCGGCGGTAGTCATGAGTCCATGCTGCTGTTAGAACGTCTACATACTTTCATAATCTTTCGTCGGTACGGTCTCCTTTGATTCTTTGATTAGCTGTCCACCTCACACGGCCAGCTCGAGAAGCGCAAGAGATTGTTCTGAGCGACTCCTCTGTCTCTGTATCATTTGCTGCAAACTATGTGTTTAAGCACCTGCACATCGCTTGTCTCCCACTCTCAATGTATTTTGAAATCTGTCTGCTTTTCATATCAATGTGGAGTAACCTATGGAGCTGTGAGTTTTGAGAGACTATGCTCGATCGGCCCTCCGCAACTTTTTAGAAACGCTGGGGCGGCTGCTTTAGCACGAAAGATTCATGATTGAGTCATATGTATATGTACCTCAAAAATCGGACCTTACCCATTTCCTTTGGCTCTGATGTCCACATATGATCCGCATTCAATCTCAAGACAACTGGACGTTTAGTCAAGCAGCTTTCTTGTTCTTAGCTCAACAAGTTAAGTGAGGTACACTTGCTCATGTCAGTGAGCCGGCCAGCCAGGTCAGCCAAGAGACAAAGCCCTCTCTGTGTTAACTGACCTACTTTGCACAGAGATCCAGATCTGTTTGATTTAGATTCTGTGGAGACAGAAAGGTAACCTTTTCTTTTAATGTTGATTTGTGGCTTTGTGGCTATAAACAGTTGGTTCTCTATCTTCCAAGTAAAAAATCAATGAAGGGATGTGCCGAGACAAAGATGATGTGAACAAGAAATTTTCCTTCACCATGTTGTGGGGTTGATATGGTGACATGGTATTGACCATTAATACATTCATCTGTTCTTCATTCTCAAGAATTTAATTAATGAGTCCCATGCATGGGGACATCTTTCTAAAGTTCTTGTCTAGACAGCGTATGGAGCATAAAGATGATACCCCCAAGTAAGGTAAGCAAGTGCTAGATCTGGGACTGAAAAGTGCATCCCTTCTTTTTTTTGCATGAAGGAGAGTATCAGCTCATCTATTGATCTTCCATCAGAAATCTGAAATAATTGACATCTCCAAAGTCAGGAGAGTTTGACATCTGTTGACGATTGCAAAACCGGTGATCAACAGTGGTCACGTTATCTTCTAAGTTTGAAAATAGCTACAGGTTCATATCCCATATAATGGACGTAACCTGGTTAGCCGGATTCGATAAGTGAATGTCGGGAATAGATAGGAAAGATCCATCCATTGATTGCAAGAAGGAAACAAGAGAAAGATCTTGAGAAACAGGGGTGTCAGGACAGAGAGGCTATGTGGCAGTCATGGTAGCTAAGTGTCATCTTAGAGGCATATCCAAATTGTCTGCATTTATGACAGGCTCTTAACTTCCGGGGACTGGTTGACAGATGACTTCTTCGAACGAACGTCGTTGAACGATTGATGGCTCTTTGAGCGTGTCCAACGAAGTGTGCGTCTTGACTCCTTCGACTCGGTGGAATGTGTTCAAGTTCTTGTGGACGGTAATCTGGAATAACGAGACACTTCCTTGTCGAGAAGTAATGACCTGGTGGAGATTCATAAGATGTCAAATTCAGTTTAACAAATAAGCAAGAGGACGTCTTCTTCTGACTAAAAACAAACAACAGAAGATCGACATTCAAAGCAAGAAATAAATCTTTTCCCAAAGCTTACCGAATAAGCCAAGAAAAACTCCCAGATCCTGTACCATTTATCGCCGTATTTGGCTTTGACTTTGGCTTCGTTAGACTTCCAATTTTTGTACCAACGGTAGAGGGTAGCCGAGTAATGGACGCCGAGAACGTCGACGGATTTGACTTCGAAGCCGGCTTGCTCGAGTTTAGTGATCACCCATCCCAAGGATAATGAAGCATCGGCGCCAGGGAAGATGTATTTGTTCATGAAGAGACCCCAGATCAGGTCTTCGTATTGCCAATTGGGTCGGATCCCAGCAACTTGGAAGACCATCGTTCCGTCGTCAGCGAGTAAGTCATAGACCTGTTTTAAGAAGTCCGGGTATCGTCTGATCCCGACATGCTCGGCCATCTCGAGACAGGAGATCTTGGTGTATCTTCCTTTAGGCTCCGCGGGGATCTCTCGTGCATCATGACAGACGATCTTGGCCTGGGTTGATGGAATTCCATTGGCGGCGAGTCGATCGTTACCGAACTTGGTTTGATTTTTTCCTAGGGTGACACCGGTGGCTTTGCAGCCGTAGTTCTTGGCTGCAAAGGCGGCCAAAGTTCCCCATCCACATCCGATATCTAAAAGGTTGTCCTCCGGTTGAAGGTCGAGCTTTTGACAGACTAGTTTCAATTTGTTATCTTGTAATTCTTCTAAGGTTTCTTCCCTGTCGGGATCGGATATGATCCCCGAGGTATAGATCATACGTGGTCCAAGGAACCAGGAATAGAAATCGTCTCCTCGATCGTAATGGCCTCGTACTTGCTCTTCATCTTGAGACGTGGTGTGTAATATCACCTCAGGTATCAATCTAGTCACCACATATTTGAACAGTTCGGGTGTCATGTGGAACGCGGCCCAGTCGTGTCTATATTCGAGCAGTTCCATCATGTCACCTGTAAGAATTGTTCACACAAGTTGGACCATCAGTTATCATAGATTTTCGAAAAGCTCTTGGATAGAAGTGTAAAAGAAAAGATGACCAACGTTTGATTTCGATCTTGCCCTCGAAAAAGGCATCGTGCCAAATCTGCATAGGAATCCGTTTACTGCCAGGGTTATCAGGGTTGTAAGCTTGAGAAAGTTTGGGATCCTTGAAGATGAAGTAGCTGGATTGCTTGTTGTTAGGCAACGCGACTTGGTTCGTCACTTGGCTGGCATAGATCGAATTCAACGCCCAATAGCTTATGATGACCGCCGGGGCCAAGATGATGGCTAAGAAGATATGTCCATAGGATAAAAACCTGATCGTGATCCCTGGGATCAAAAATTTTCCTGCCAGGTAAGGCACGAAAATTACCGCGGCGATCATTTCCTTATTCGAGAATCTGCCATTTCCTGTTGTTATCGTTTTTTGTTCGAGGTTTAATTTAAAATTGATGTCACGGCAACAAAGATTTTAGAAAAGTAGTGATAATCAGATAATTGGTTGCAGTCGAGTGAAGCAACACGAGATTTGAAATCGAGAGAGATAAGTGCCAACTGACCCTCAACAATCAATGGGGCGTTCCGGATAGCAGGATAGTTAGTTAGCCTGACGACGCAGGATTTTGAGGGTTCCTTGGACATGCTAGGTATATCAGTCAGGCTTGGTATATCTCTGGGTGGTCCTTGGAGTGGAGTGGAGTGGAGTGGTGGGTGATCGAGGGCAGGGAAACAAACGAAGGGAGCGGGGCATTCCCCGGGGAGGCGCTCTGAGCTGATTCGAGGCTGGGTCGGGCAACCCGGATCAGATTTCTACAAACTGTCACGTGTCCCAACCACAAACTGAGCACACCTTTGGATGTGACATCCTATATCGACCTGTCTTTGGTCACATCAAGCTGCGTTTGAGAGGCACAAGTCAGTCTCTTCTGGGCACAAAGCTACTTTTGCATTAGCCCAAAGTGTTGTTCAGCTGTTGAAGAATCGGGTGGGATTCTTTTAAACAGATTGGCAGAGTTGTACATAAACAATAAAACACATGTGGAGGGGATTTGAGCCGAGGGAGACCAGAAGGGGGTCAAGGTTTTATCAAAGGTGGAATTTAGCACTTGTAAATATGTGATGGAGCAGGCTGACCGATGATAAAATTACCCCAGGCTCAATCTGAGTTTATGGATTTATGTTGAAGGGAAGGCTGGCAGCTGCAAATGTACTAGCCAAAGAAACTACAAACCACATCTGCACATCAGCTGGCAGAAAGTAGGAAGTGAATTCCCACTACCGTCTCCGTGGACATGTTTTGCTATGGGCTATTTAGGGGGAGCATGGGTTAATCAGTCAAGTTTTTAGGCATTTTGCCTATTTTGGTGGGCCAATGTCCAAGAAAAAATGTATGGTCTAAAAGGGGTTATGGGCTAATAGGTCATGGGTTATGAGGGAGTTGACTGGATGCCGCTTATAAGCATGCAATGGTACATGTAGCTAAAAGATGTTGGCTCTGGCTGCTCGAGTGTCATCAATGGAATTCACAATTTTGATCACATATGTACAAATTGCACAAGAGACAGAGATAACTGATGATGATTGAGTGACAGGAAACAATGAAAAAAATAAGTGAAAAAGTCAAGTGAAAATGAATGGTCAAGTGACACAAATAAAAGTCTCTGATTGACATAAAAATCCCCCCCCCCCCGCGTTCCACTATGTATTGTGTATTAAATTGTTAAAACACTGTAATTTTACCAACCCCAAAGTACAAGCTACTCTTTAAGCAAAACTGCAACTGTTTGTAGTGTCTGAGATATCAAACCCCACCAGCCTAATCTCATCATTAACATTTATGAACTATTATAGCCTTTTGGAATCCAGATTGATTTCCACCTCCTATCCTCAAATGAACAGACATATTTAATCAACCTTGCATGATCCAGCTATCAGCATATTCTCATCTTTTCTCAGGGCGCGCAAATTGGATCTACACTCCATTATATGCATGAACGATTGTTAAAAGCATCTGTCAACGCACTCGACGGAGCCGGGAGATCAGATATTCAAGTGGCTATATCTGATATTTCAAAAATAATTTGATATGCGTTCTTGGGGGTTTAGGAGGAATACATTGAAGTAGAAGTCTTGACTGTTGGATGATGGGGAATCAACACGTTTTGAAGGATTGGTGAATTAGTTACAACCGAGATGGAGTTTGTCAGATCACACTAAGATTGCTTGAGAAGTTGGACATGTCGTCTGCGCGATAGAGCGGTGGTCCATCTTGGAGTTCCAGGTATCGCATGTCTTCATTCAAGTCGATGCAAGACAATTTCCTTTTGCATTTACTGGATTCGTTTGTGCTCTACTTCAAGGTGAACGAAAACATAATTTCAAGACGATCTTTTTTTCTCTCATGAGTTTCATTATTCATTTACAGCAAGCACCTATTGTTTTTTTTTTTTTTTTTTTTTTTTTTTGTAAAACATTGAGGAAAGCGATCCCGATGGGAAAAAAACCATAGTTGGAATTTGCGACGATGTCGGATAGGGGTAAAAGTAACAGGTTTGATTAGGTCGTGTCGCGGTTTGCATAATCGTAGCACGCCAAAGAGAGTTCAAGTGACTTACGTAAAGCACGTTATTGCAACTGGTGTGTTTTCAAGACGGAATTGTCGCGATCAAGGAGAACGGAAAGTAAAAACAATTGTTTGAGGGCGAGGAAAAATAATTGCTAGTTAGTCATACTGCGTTCATGTGATGAGGCAACTGGACTATGATTAAAATGAGACTGACCGGATAAAAACTTCCCCTAGTGATCCAACTGACTGTCCATTTTGATATTCTTCCGTGTTAGCTAGCTAGATCAAAGTAATTTTTCATTGGTTCGTGCATGTCCAATCATATTGGTTGGGGAAAATCAGCACGTATACCGACTTGAACAAGTAAAGAAAACAACAAGGAAGCATCCAAAGAAACTCAACCTGCAAGTTCATGTAGTTATCAACGCTAACTAGGTATCCTTTGTATTCCATGCCCCATTTCAATTTGACCACGCATTCTTTTCCAGTCAAATCTTGAAGAAACGGCTTTGATCCATTTATTGCGTTGCGATGATTCAAGTTTCCGATCGATCGAAAAAAGATTGGTAATAGTATCCAAAGGTTTTTTATAGCGCAAAAAAATCAGTATCTATTCCCTCAAGACGCGTTTTTTTTAGGCTTCGCTGGACACGTCAGACAAAGAGAGAGCTGTTTGCTGACCTTTGGATTAACTGGGTGGACCTATCGATCAGGAATAAAACAAGTGATAACTGTCAGTAAGGGCAAGGCACGCTTCCGAGGATCAGATAGATGATGAATCGGAGTGAAGATGAACGGGGGACTGACAACACTCATGATGAAACGCTAGCTTGAAGACTTGGCTATCGACTGCTTTCCGTTTTCCAGTTGATGCGTGAGGTGGCCGGGGATTTCGATGGGAAGAATTTATATACTCGGTGACTGACCAATCACACACCTGTCTCACACATGTCGCCGGTGCCTTGGTCGAGTGGGCTTAAGTTTGCGGTCTACACTTGGAAACTTGCGGCAAAAGCGACTTCCCGTCAACATCTGCGGGTCTCCCAGAGCCAGCGAGCTTGTACAGCCTCTCCGTCGAACGCACGAAGTGCGGGAGAGGCTTGAGCCCAAAACAAACACGCTTGCGTGTCACGGTCAAGTTTTTTGGCTGTTTTTTGCGCCAAAAATCCTAGGAAATTCAGCTTGTAAATTTTTTGAAAACTGAGTTGAGGTGAAGATGCCCAATATGGTGGTCTTGACTTCCATCAAGAAAGTTTTGAAAAAAATCAAAAACTACACAATTGAAGAATTTTTAAGGAAAATTTGCTAAATGAAAAGTTGGCTGAGCTTACATGAGCCTGTTTCAACCTCACTGCCTACCAGGTGAGAACATTTCCTCAATTTGACCAACTTGAAAAACATCCACCTCATCCAATTTCCAAGATAAAGCTCTGAAAATTGGATGAGGTGAGAGGCATCACCAATCTCTAAAACCTCATCTACTCAAATTCTAAATATCTGGTCATGTGCATGCTGTACATCCAGCTCAATGTGTGTTACACCAAAACTGCCCAACCGTGACACACGGGCATGTTCGCTTTTGTCCTAAGTCCCTCCTTCGGAGGCTCGCGCTTCACGCGAGTGGCGTTCCACGCCAGCCAAGGCCACCAGGCCCTCCGAAGCGAGGGACTTTGATAAGTTTGCAGAGCCAGTAGTATACATGTACAGATACACCACAGGTGAATGATTTTCATTCCTGTGCGACAGGCCCACAGCGCAGTTGGGATTGGGTTGGCGCGGGTCGGCCATAACCTGCTTTTCACAAATCTGACGGCGGTTGTGGGCTGTCATAAAATTGAGGTCAGGCTGACCTTTGGATCACTGTGAATGATCCTGATGTCTTGACATCAGGATCATCTGCCGTGATCCAAAGGTCGGCCCAACACGAGCTGAAGCCGATGATGGCTGTGTGTCGGGCTTCAGCTCAGTGTCAGTGGGGATGATGTCATGCCCAATTTCGTTGGCATGACTTGGATAGGCTTTTCAAAAAAAACTTTTTTGGGCCTCTTTCCATGCAAGAAAGGGGCTACCTATGTTTCAAAATGTAAAAGAAAAAGTATAAAAAACCATTGTCTTCAACAGAAATGCCAAATTTCTGAAGAAGATTTAATGGAATTGTAGTTCATACAGCTGTTAATGTGCCCAAGAGGAAGACCGATCTTGTAGAGTGGTAATTATGTCCCCTTGTTGATGCCTGATCTGCACTGATCATCAGGCATGCCCAGCACCAGCATGGGCGTAGGTTGCAGGTTTGAGGCAAGGGAGGAGAACTCTTTTTCTCAAAAACAAGCCTCCCAGTTTCTTTGCAACTCGTTATACCCTCAAGGGGCCGCTGACATCCGCTTCTTGTTAGAAGCTGTTACGGTCATGCCCACCACATGAGCCAACGAGAGGCCCACATCACAAGTTGGGCTGACAGCGGCATCCGACACCTCCCGCTCTTAGCCCTGCCATTATTTTGGGCGGGGTCAGACAAGTGAGGCCAACAAAACATGTGATGTGGGCTCAATGTCGCTTGCAGCCTGTGGTGTACCCATCTCTTGACACCGCCTTTGTCTAGCTTTGTCTTGCTTGGTGCTTGACAAAGGCATTGTGGATTCAAGCAGACAATCTCATATCAAGGAATCCCTGTTCAGTTAAAGGACCTGATTCCCATCAGGTATCTGATGACGGCTGTTGAATTGACAGAGGTTTGCTATTAACAAGTTTAGAGCATCTCCACCCGGGGAGCTAAACCGGGTTGCTATTCTGGTTGGGATGGCAAAGCAAAGTTGATGTTTGACAACCCAATCGGCCCTGGCAAACACCCGTGGTTGCTATAATACCTACCAGAGGCCTGTGAACAGGGGTGGGAGTGACACATGTGATGATTTGTCATCTGGGATTCACAAGGAAAACACAAGAGGTGTCATTGGATTGGTGAATTTCACAGGTGCTGATGAGTTGCTAGTGGGTTGCTGAATTTGACAACTGGATGACAATTTTTACCTCCCAAGGCAAAATAGAAACTCATTTAGCACCCCGGGTGGGTGAGGAATATTTGGGTTGGGTTGCTAAACGCGGGATAGCAACCCGGTTTAGCTCCCTGGGTGGAGATGCTCTTAACATTAAGTGACAAACTCTTAGAAATTACAGGTATCACAAAATGTGATGGCACTTGAGACATTAATTCTCGTGTTGAACCTGCATTACCGTTCATCTGTAAATCTCCCCAAAACCTTATATACTTTATTCATCTTTTTTTCTCGAGAAATCTCACTCACCCTTGTTCCTCATTTGCCCATTTGCATTGTCCTAACCTTTGCCTTTTCCACATTGTTTCTGTTGAACTAGCAGTCTGAGGGGTTCATTTTCACCCTGCTGCGGCAACGGTGCAACGAGTCCTATACGTGTATTGTATAGGCATATACAGCGTATTGCACTTTGTCAGGAGTACATGTATTTTGAAATACATGTATTGCCTCTGCTAGCGAATACAATACAAATACATTGTATTCATTTTCTAGCCTATACAATACAAATACGTTGTATTTACAAATACAGTTTTGGTTGTATTCCCTTTAAAACCCCTTTTTTTCTTCTCTTTTTTCTTCTCTTTTTTTTTCTCTTTTTTTCTCTTTTTTTCTCTTTTTTTCTCTTTTTTTCACTTTTTTTTTCACTTTTTTTCACTTTTTTCACTTTTTTTTCACTTTTTTTTTCACTTTTTTTTCACTTTTTTTTCACTTTTTTTTCACTATTTTTTTCACTATTTTTCTCTATTTTTCTCTATTTTTTTGGGCCTTAATAAAAAAACGCGGTTTTTCCGCGTTTTGACGCGGTTTTGATGCGCCGCAGCACACGCGGTTTCCGCGTTTAGACGCGGTTTTATTAATTAATTTTTTACGGCTTATTTTTCGAGTTTTTTCGAATTTTTAAAGTTGTTTCCTACACTATAAAAGGCATAGAATTTAATGGTAAAAACCATTTTTCATAAAAATGAATTTTGATTATTAATTATTTTTTTTCACTCATTTCTCAATTAATTGTTTGCATACATGTATGTACCTTATTTTTTATGCTTTTGTGAAATTTTAAAATTATTTCCTAGGTTTCAATGTGTGTAGAATTTAATGGTGCAATCCAATTTTTTTAAAACTCAACGGTTCATTTTTAATACTGAAATTAGACCCATTTTTTCACTTAATTTTTTACAGCTTAATTCTCATCATTTTTTGACATTTTAAATTTATTTCCCACACTTTAAGACATGTAGAAAATGATGGTAACAACCATTTTTCCCCAAAATGAAAACTATATCTTGAATGCCGCATTTGACACGTTTTTTTTAATTAATTCATCACTTTTTCACTTAATTGTTTGCATACATGTGTGTACCTTATTTTCTATGCTTTTTTGAAATTTTAAAGTTTTTTCATACATTTAAAAGTGTTTAGAATTTAATGGTAACATCCAATTTTCTTAAAACTCAACAGTTCATTTTTAATACTGAAACTAGACACTTTTTTCAATTAATTCTTTACATGTTATTTCTCACTATTTTTTGACATTTTAAGTTTATTTCCCACACTTTAATACATGATAAAAATGATGGTAACAACCATTTTACATAAAAATCAGCGCTTGTTACTGAATACTGCAGTGGACAGGCGTTTTTTAATGTTTGTTTGATTGATTTTTACCGGCCTGATTTTAAGCATTTTTTTTTATTTTGAATTTATTTCCTACATTTAGAAATGTTTAGAATTGAATGGTGAAGTCCAATTTCACTCAAAATACAAGCTTCAATCTTTATAGATGAGCGTACCCTGTTTCTTGCATAATTTGTACCATATACAAATTTTAATTGAATGCAAAATGGATAGAGCCATCAATTTTGAAACCTTTAAAAGTGTAGGAAATGAGCATGAAATTCCAAAAAATAAGGATAATTGAGCGTGTAAGAATTAATTCAGGAAACACGTCAAAGGCATTATTCAAGATATAGTTTTCATTTTGATGAAAATTCATTGTTGCCATAATTTTATACATGTTTGAAAGTGTAGGAAACAAATTTAAAATGTCAAAAAATAATGAAAATTAAGCTCTTAAAAATCAATTGAAAAATATGACTAATTACAGTATCCAGAATGAACCGTTGAGTTTTAAGAAAAATGGATGTTACCATTAAATTTTACACACTTTTAAATGTAGGAAACAACTTTAAAATTTCAAAAAAGCATAGAAAATAAGGTACACACATGTATGCAAACAATTAAGTGAAAAAGTGATGAATTAATTAAAAAAACGTGTCAAATGCGGCATTCAAGGTATAGTTTTCATTTTGGGGAAAAATGGTTGTTACCATCATTTTCTACATGTCTTAAAGTGTGGGAAATAAATTTAAAATGTCAAAAAATGATGAGAATTAAGCTGTAAAAAATTAAGTGAAAAAATGGGTCTAATTTCAGTATTAAAAATGAACCGTTGAGTTTTAAAAAAATTGGATTGCACCATTAAATTCTACACACATTGAAACCTAGGAAATAATTTTAAAATTTCACAAAAGCATAATACATGTATGCAAACAATTAATTGAGAAATGAGTGAAAAAAAATAATTAATAATCAAAATTCATTTTTATGAAAAATGGTTTTTACCATTAAATTCTATGCCTTTTATAGTGTAGGAAACAACTTTAAAAATTCGAAAAAAACTCGAAAAATAAGCCGTAAAAAATTAATTAATAAAACCGCGTCTAAACGCGGAAACCGCGTGTGCTGCGGCGCATCAAAACCGCGTCAAAACGCGGAAAAACCGCGTTTTTTTATTAAGGCCCATTTTTTTTCTCTTTTTTTCTCTATTTTTTTTCTCTTTTTTTCTCTATTTTTTTTCTCTTTTTTTCTCTATTTTTTTTCTCTTTTTTTCTCTATTTTTTTTCTCTATTTTTTTTCTCTTTTTTTCTCTATTTTTTTTCTCTTTTTTTCTCTTTTTTTCTCTTTTTTTTCTCTTTTTTTCTCTTTTTTCTCTTTTTTTTCTCTTTTTTTCTCTTTTTTTCTCTTTTTTTCTCTTTTTTTCTCTTTTTTTCTCTTTTTTTCTCTTTTTTTCTCTTTTTTTCTCTTTTTTTCTCTATTATTCTCTTTTTTGCTCTTTATTTTCTCTTTTTTTCACTATTTTTCGCGATTTTTCTCTTTGATGCTCTATAATCGTCTTTTTTACAGTGTTGTTTTATAAATAAGGCCCAAAAAAAGAAAAAAATGGAAAGAGATACAAAATGAAAAAATAAAAGTTGAAAAGAGAGAGAAAAAGGTGAACAAAAAAGTGAAGAAAACGTGACAACAAGTGAAAAAAAAGTGAAAAAAAGTGAAAAAAAAAGTGAAAAAAAGTGAAAAAAAGTGAAAAAAACAAGTGAAAAAAAAGTGAAAAAAAGTGAATAAAAAAGTGAATAAAAAAGTGAAAAAAAGTGAAAAAAAGAGAAAAAAAGAGAAAAAAAGGGGTTTTATATCTGTAATGAAGTTGAAGCTGGGATCTGCAGATACAAAATACATGGGATGTATTGTAGCTGACTCTGCAATACATTTATTTGTATTGTACTCAGAGTGCAATACATAAATAAAAAATACATCCGTATTGCAGCTGCCTTCAGCTGCAATACAAATACATGTATTGCCTATACGTTTTGGTGCAATACACACCCACTAGAAATACATGTATTGGACTCGTTGCACCGTTGGCTGCGGCACATCTGCTCACGTGAGGGTAGTGAGATAAACAAGGTTCAAAACCTAGTTTGTAATTGGTTGTAGCTTTTAGAGTCTCATCGGTCTCATTTTTCTTGTTTCTCTTTTTTCTTCATCCAATTCTCTCAGTTTCTTTTGACCTGTGTCTCACTCGCGCTTGCCTCTCTCTTTTTGACTCAGGTCTGTTTTTCTCTGCCTTTGTTCACTATCTGTTTCTTCCTTTCATTTCTCATCTTTTGTTCTCCTTTTCAGGTTTGCTGCTCTTCAGCTCTTGTTGTTAGTCCACATTGTTCGTGTCCTAACACCCAGTTTGGAATCCAAAGGTTTGCTGCTCTTCAGCTCTTGTCATTAGTCCACTTCATTCGTGTCCTAACATCCACTTTGGAATCCAAAGGTTTGCTGCTCTTCAGCTCTTTTCGTTAGTCCACATTGTTCGTGTCCTAACATCCACTTTGGAATCCAAAGATTTAGTGTTCTTTAGTTTCCTCCCTCTTAGAAAATTAAAGTTATCTCCTGTACTAAGCCCTCTCCTTCCATCTTTGTCTGTTTTATATACCAAGCCGTGTTCTTCTTCTTTTTGTCCCAACACTAGAGCTGGTCTCTGGATATCCGTTGCGGATATCCGCTATCCGCTGGCGGATATCCGCCAGTCTCAACGGATACCCGCCAGCGGATGCGGATGCGGATGCGGATGCGGATGTCCACTTTCCCCTGAAATCCTGGCGGATATCCGGGTATCCCAGCGGATATCCGCCCATATCGGAGGGAAAAAAAGAAAAAACAAAGAAAAAACAAAATAAAAAATAGAATAAGGGCCTTAATTACAACCCAGTTTTTCCTGTGCGCAGCACACGCGGATTCCGCATTTGGGTGTGTTTTTTTAATCAATTTTTTACCACTTCTTTTTCATGTTTTTTTGAAATTTTGAATTTATTTCCTAGTTTTTAAAATGCATAGAACTTTGTGGTAATATTCAATTTCTTTAAAAATCAAAGGATCACTTTGAAAATTCCAATCAAACATATTTTTTCAATTAATTTCTTACAGCTTGTTTCTCAATAATTTTTGTTACTACACTTTAGGACATGTAAAAAATTATGGTAATAATCATTTTGCATCAAAATGAAAATTAATTCTTGAATATTTTATTTGGCATGTCTTTTTAATTAATTCTTATAGGCCTAATTTTCATTATTTTTTGGAATTTTAAATTCATTTCCTACATTTTGAGAGGTTTCAAGTCTTATGGTATCATTCATTTTACCCAAAAATCAAAGTTCCAACCTTAATATATGAGTTTACCCCGTTTCTTGCATAATTTGTGCTGTATACCAATTTTATTTGTATGCAAAACTGACATAACCATCAATTTTCAAACCTTTCAAAATTCAGGAAATAAATTTAAAATTCCAACAAATAATGGGAATCAGGCCTGCAAGAATTCGTTAAAAATACATGCCAAATATAATATTCAAGAGTTAATTTTCATTTTGATGTAAAATAATTATTACCATAATTTTTTACATGTCTTAAATTGTAGGAAAAAAATTTAAAATGTCAGAAAATATTGAGAAATAAGCTGTAAGAAATTAATTGAAAAAATGTGCTTGATTGGAATTTTCAAAGTGATCCTTTGATTTCTAAAGCGATTTAATATTACCACAAAATCCTACGCATTTTGAAACCTAGGAAATAAATTTAAAATTTCAAAAAAACATGAAAAATAAGTGGTAAAAAATTAATTAAAAAAAGAAAAAAGAAAAAAAATTGAAGGCTTGCAGGCTGCAAGGATATGAAAATTGCTGTTTATGCAGCTCCCAAAATCTGAAATTTCCCCAAGGAGCATTCATTTTGCACCCTAGGGGTCATTTAAGGGGCGGATATCCGTGGATATCCGCGCGGATACCCGCCAGCGCCAGCGGATACCCACCAGCGGATGCGGATGCGGATGCGGATGTCTGATTTTGCTGAAAACGTGAGCGGATATCCGAATCCGAACGGATATCCGGATGCGCCGGGGCCAGCTCTACCCAACACCAATAGTCTTTTGTTTTCAAGAAATATTTCCCACCTTCGCCCCTCCTTTGGCCAATCGCTTTATCCTAATTTTCTCCCATTCCTCATAGTTTCCTTATTCCATTAAAATTGAAAGTATTTACTATACTAAGCCATGTCCTCACCTTTTCTTCCATCTTCGCTCACAATTTCCCGACACCATCAGTCTTTTGTTCTCGAGAAATATTTCCCACCTTTGCTCCTCCTTTGGCCAATTGCTTTATCCTAATTTTCTCCCATTCCTCATAGTTTCCTTATTCCATTAAACTTGAAATCATTTACTCTACTAAGCCATGTCCTCGCCTTTTCTTCCATATTCACTCACAACTTGATGATTGCCTCTTCTTAAATTAAGTAAATCGAGCGGCCGATATTTATTCACTGTTTTTGTCCACCAGAAAATTTAATTCCCTTTTCCCCAATCAACGTCATGTCACCCTGTGGGAGCATATACAGTTCGGCTTGAAGACAAGCTTTGTAGATGACGGCTTCATACCGCTGCTCTTCTATTTACGAGCCTAAGTTCATATTGTCGCGAATCGTATTGCTTGCCCCTGTCCCCAGTTTCCTGTTTCCTATTCTCATTAGTCCACTGTCCTACATTATCTGACATTTATTTTTTTCCTTTTTCCTTTTCCCTTATTCCTCTTGACTCGCTCTCCTTAGGCTTGATCATGAGTCCCTTTACCCTGGTCACAATAGCCCGGTTCACATTAGCCAGTTCCAATGGCTGATCACCTTGTTAAAAGTTGCTGATAGAAAAATATTTTTTGGATGGATCTGGAATTATCTGGGGGACTCTGGACTACACATTCAAAAATGTAGGTGTTTTTAAGTATCAATGATTTGCTGATTAAAGCTAAAATTTTTGCTGATGACTGGCTATTGTGAACCGGGCTAATACAAATACTCTCCTGTTAAGTCAAGCCATCTCGCCACTACACCAAACAATTCTCTTTCCATTTCTCTGACTCCAAAACACAATATGACCAATCATTACTCGGTCAGTGGCTGTCAATTTGTAGATGAGCCTCTGTTTGTCACCTCTGACGGCTCCATCGTTCTCAATTTCACCAATACTACTGTTCCTCTCAGCCATCGCTTGAATACACGTGATACCCCTCAATTTTCCATTGTGGCTAAGCCTATGTCCCTCGCTACTTCAAGAGGCGGTCCTTGGCTGATATACTACGGGACTATTGACCTCTCACAAAACTCAGATGTCCTGCAAATCAGGGCTCGTGTTTCTTATTGGCAAGGCGTCCTACCTTTATGCGACGTGACCAAGGACCGAAAATTAGTGGTAAACTTAAATTCAGCTCTATTCAACATCAACTCCGCACAATTCCACCATATCCGCAAAGAGCACCTCCAAGCATCCATTCAGTCCGAGTCTCAGCCTCCTCAATCACCGACACCCTGTACGACTCCTGACCCACGACTTTACCCAGCACCACAAGTTCACGAAACCAGGCATGAAGTCTTTCATCTTCACCGCTGCGCTTTGTGGGGCTGCTTTTGCTTCAATTGTTGGCGCGATGAATGTCATCATCGAGGGAAAAGAAGTGAAGCCCACGATCCCACAAGAAGGTGTTACCACAGTCAACACCGAGATTTTCGAGTGCAAATACTGCGAAGGAGCTGGTTGTCGAAGGTGCCAGCCAGAAACTTGTGATGTTTAGAAACTATAACCTCATCTTCGAGTACACATGCAAGGCAAACCCACTATTTCTCTCAAGGTTTTTGGCTCACTTGTTTTTGAATTTTAATAAAGTGATACATATGAAATATACAAAAATACTTTTGTGTTTGAGTCAGAAGAGAGGAACAAAAAAGAAACATGAGGTGTATATGACCACCAATATTGAAATCCCTACAATTCAAGTCGAGCACCAAGTCTCATGATGACAAGGTGAAGAAATGATTTTGACATCATTTTTTTTTCTCTCAATGGAAGTCGTGACAGAATACAAGAAAAGACAAAGAGATGTGTTTGTTATTGTTATAATTTGATCATCATAAGTATAAAAAAAGTGATCTGGACATTGACGAGAGAAAGCTCAGTTGCATTTGGTCCTCCACAACATTTTTTTTTTTTTTTTTTGGTTTAACCCTCAGCTTGGAACTGAGTCAGTTGGGCAATGTATCTATTGAAAGTAGGAAAAAAATGTTCAGTGAATGTTCCAAACAATTGATCCATGACCTCATCGACTGTCTGAGGGGGATAAGAAGGGACCATATGAGAGCGGATGAAGTCCAAGCAAAAGTTGACATCATGACTGATCACCTCGGCTTCGTGCTTGAAATCCCAGCCGGGAGGCTTCTCCTGGAACTCGGCAGTAGTTTCCAGGTAGACAATCAGACTGAGGATGTGGGGCTTGAAGGTTTCAGAGACATCACTGAAACTGGCGAGCTCGGCCGTGCTCAGGCCTTCACCAAATGTGAAGAGACGCGTAGAACCAATCTTTCTGGAAAAGAGTCTAAACATTTTGAGCGGGACAAGGGTTTGGTCCAACAGTTCAAGAACAGCCGGTGTATGCGCGGTGAAGTCGGGGTTGACGCGCGCAGGGGCCCGGGTGTTTGTTAGGTTGATACACCAGTGGATGTCGGTGATATTGCGCCGGTGCAGCAAGTCCTCACATTGATTCCAGATGGATTGGATGATATCGAAGTTTGATCCGCGGATGATGATGGAGATTCTGGGGATAATAACTTGGATTCGGCTGACTGGCCCCTGTTGGGAAGGTTTGTTCCGGTCTGACGGTTCGTAATCAGGAGCGTGATATTCGCCATCAGAAACAAAGGAAGAGAGGCTATTGAATAAGCTGCTGAGATCTTCTTTGATGAGCTGGGTAACATTCTTCTTCAAGTAGCGAGATCTGAATTGGTTGAATTGGCCATAATTTTGATCAATCAATCGACATATTTCTGGATTGGAGTAGTCAGGAGGAAGGACGGAGGAGGCCAGGTCTTGCACAAGGCTAGTGAACCTAGGCACGATTTCTAAGGCTTCATCGAGCTTGGGCTGGGGAGATATCGTGTCTTTAGCAGGTAAGTCTAATGCCTCGAGCAGTGCGGTGACTAGGTCACGAATGGCAGGTAGTATGGTGCTTTCAACTCGATTCAAGTTTTCCTGTTGGGTCTTTAAATCTTGCTCTGGTGAGACTTCTTCCTCCTCTGGGGAATTGGATTCGCGGTCGAAGCGATAGCATAGCCTAATTAACTTGATGAGCTCGGCATCGAGAGCTGCACGACAAGAAGAGAAAAACAAAAAGGCAAAAGGACGAAGTGAGGAAAGAATAGTACAATAGAAAATGTATAGTCAGTTTTAGATGTTAGTCCTTGAGGCTAAAAGACGAGGTTCAAGGGAGAAGAAAGAAGTAATTACCCGGGGCCGACATGTCTAGGTTGAGGGTGCTAAGTTGGTAGGCTGGTGTAGGGGATGTCGAGTGGGGTTGGTGTTACGGGTAAGGGATGTGCGCAGAGATGTGATGAGGATTGAGTGCTATCGGATCAAGTATGAATAGAGTGGCCTGTCAGACGGCCCCTCACTGTCCTCCTTTTGTAGACGTTATTATAAGACGATGGGCCGAGCCAGGCCGCAAGGCTTGTTTTTGTCTCAGTGAGGATGAAGCCTTGGAAAAGTCAAAGGACCGCCGGGAATGGTTCAAACGCCGCCAGTGACTACTGATATCATGATGGAAATGGAAGCGTTGTGCGTGCATGAGCTGCTGCCGTCTCCCATTTCCCACTGGTGGCCGGTAGCGGCAATGGATGGCTCTCTCCCGTCAGGCTGAGTTTTGTCTCTCTCTCCTGATGAGCTTGGAGCCTTGATCATGGACTGATCATGAGCTTATCCCATCCGGCTTTTGATCATCTACCCGTTCCGACTCCCTGTGCCGAAACAGGGAAAAAACACCCCGTTAATCTCACTCAGCCCCGGACTGAGCTCTTTTCTCGTGGAAAAAAACGGTCATCATGGAGCGCTCTTTGCATGCAAACCTGACTGACCATTGACAATCGCGGCGGCTTCTGTGATAATTTCAACTCGCGTCGGGTCATTGAACACTGAATTCTTTTCTTTTCCGAATAAACAGGCATTTCGATCCACTCTGTCCTTACTGCCCTGGCGCCCTGGCAGAGACACCACCGTCCACCTCTTCAATTTCTGTCCTCACTTCAAAAACATCAGATCGGATCTACAAAGATCTTTACGCTCTCTGAACATTAGATTCAACCCAAATCGGCTGGACAGGGTCCTACTTGTGAGGAAAGCAGACATTCCGATCGCGCGTTTTCTTCAATTGTCTAATCGATTCCCGGCCCGGGTTAAAAATGTTCGGAATTTGTTTGTAACTCAAGTGGGCGCTGATCCAAGCTTATTCAACGTGGTGGTAAAGCATATATTTAAACCTAGAGAAATAATTAATAGTGCAGAAGTTAACATGATTGTAGATTAGGATATTTATTCAGGTAATTGAATGTAGATTGAGGTTGAGGAGAGAAATAATTTAATTTTGGCGGGCGGCGCAGCCGCCCTTAGACACTAGTCTTATTCACAAGATGGAGCAGGGACGGAACTGCAGGGAGAGTTGTAGCGTGTCCATGGGTGACAAGCCCACACGCTTCTGCAGCCCTGGCGCTCCTTGGCGCCTGTCATGGCTTGGGGCCAGCCGGAGCAGGAAGCCGTGGCTTCAGAATACAGGGAGCAGGAGCTAGAGGTAAGAGCTACATAGTCCAGCTCGCTCTTTCCTCTTGCCTCGTCCTTCCCCCCACTTCCCCTCTCCTTCCTCTATTCGTATCAAGCAGATACGTTCTACTTCGCCTAAAAATCTTTCCCCCGCTAGAATTTTTCGAATTTTCCAAATCCCTATAAGACACTTATCCGCTAGGCTAAATACATATCCTTTTGATCCACTCTCCGTATAAACCCCTCTACTCTCTCCCAAAGAATTTCAACTCTCCCAGATAGCTCGGCAAAGACTTCACCGAGTTAGGCAAATCCTTCATATCCATAACTTTATACCAACTCCTGATTCCTTCATAACCAGATCTCCGTAACCACTCCCCTTACCTCATCCGAAATCCCCCCTTTCCAACCACTCACTTCCCACAATGACCAACCCCTTACAGTCAATCAGTGACTCGGTCAAAAATTCATCATCGCAAAACCCTCTCGATAACCCTTCCGACCAAAACCCCACACAATCCCAACAAACACAACAACCACACCTTCCCTTGACTTCAGACGCCTCCACACCCGGGCCGAAGAGAACCCTCACTTCCAACGTCCCACCCGCTCCATCAAAAGCCCCAGCGCTCAAGTCCACCGAAGGACGTGCACAACCCCAAACGCAACCCAAACAATCCAGCGGGAAAAACTCGACGCTTTCATCGAAAGGGACAACCTCCCAAATGACGAAAACCGCCTCAGCCCTGTGCAAAGAAGTCGGTAAGCCAAAAAAAAAAAAAAAAAAAAAAAAAAGAGGGGAAAATAGTGATATACACACACACAGCGAGCTGAATCACATTGAATTGAATTGCTGAACCTAGGCTCGACGGGCGTGGGGTCACAAGAACCACAATGCGTTGCGATAGTCGACCCAAGCGCAACGAAGGCGAAAGCAACGGAAATGCTACTAGCGAAAGCCATCAAAGCCCAAGAACAGGGCAACAAAGAGAGAGCTGACCGATTTTTCTCAATGCACGACACCCTATTGAAAGAAGACTCGAGAATCGTTTCCCAAAACGCGGATGAGATTCAAGTGATCGCAAGCCTTCCGGTAATCCCCCAGAAGAGGCCTTCAGCTTCCGGGGGACCCACAGAATCTAACGGCATCAAGTTCCTCTGGGAGAGGTCGAACTCCCATGACGACGGGGGCTTCACCCCTTACTTCCACAAGAATATCAGCGAGCTGAAAGGACCAATCCCCCTTACCATTTTCAACCGGAAGTGGCAGGAAGAAGCACTCAGTTACCACTCAAGGAACCGGGCCAAAACAGACAAGACGGCAGCAGAGAAAGGTCTTCGCTACCACGGTCTCGCCGTCCCCGACAAATGGCTACAGTCATTCTCAGACTGGACGTTGAATCACAGATGTTTCCACGACACGATGAAAGACCGCTACAACTTCCCGGTTCTAGCGGTGTAAGACTCAAAAGTGGTTGTGAAACCCTTTTGCTGAATTGAGAAGGGGATGATGGAGGTGCAAACTCTGCCCTTCTATACTATCAGAAACAAGACCCCCAAGCTTAGCTTGGAAAGTTTTAATAACGTGATAGGATTGGTCGGTTCCGGTAAAACTTTGTTTGATGAAATGTGAAGGTGAATATATAA